AGAAGTAGAAGTGATGTAATGATTATAACAGTACCTGTAAATCAAAGTGCTACACTAAAGTAAATTAAGATAGGAGAAGCCAGCCATCTCCTCAATCTCCAGTGCCTCTGTTTCACTAATGATAAACTTCCTTTTGCTTTTCCATTATTTGCAATCTGTATCATCTGTATTTATCACTTTCCTTCTTTATATCTGTATCAGTTCAGTTTAGTCGCTCAGTTGTGTCCGACTCTTTGCGACCCCGTGAACCACAACACGCCAGGCCTCCCTGTCCATCACCAACTCCCGGAGTTTACTCAAACTCATGTCCATCGAGTCAGTGATGCCATCCAGCCATCTAATCCTCTGTCATCCCCTTCTCCTCCTGCCCTCAATCTATCCCAGCATCAGGGTCTTTTCAAATGAGTCAGTTCTTCGCATCAGGTGGCCAAAGTATTGGAGTTTCAGCTTCAACATCAGTCCCTCCAATGAACACCCAGGACTGATCTCCTTTAGGATGGACTGCTTGGATCTCCTTGCAGTCCAAGGGACTCTCAAGAGTCTTCTCCAACACCACAGTATCACAGCTTCACAAAGCCTTATTTTGAGATTCTGTCTACAACAAATCTTTCCCTTCCCTGCCCAAATTTTTATCTTTATGACTCACTGTTTGGTTCTCTAATCACTGCACCTGTAGCAGCTGTTTCCTCCAAGTAAACTGCAGTCTCCTCCAACATCATCTCGGAGTCATTCATTGCACAACTAAAGTCTAGTGCAGTCCATCAGAACTGCTCCAGGCACCCAGGGTGAGCAGCAAGATAAAAATCCCTGTCTCTGTGGAGGAGGTGAAAATAGGTTTGGCATGAAGAGAGTTTGCCAATAAAGTAAACATTCTGTGGGAGGGGAGTCAGGTAACAAGCAATTATAACTAGAATAGGGTAAACTGAATTAGTGAGTGTGAACTGATTAGGAATGCAGGGTGGGAGAGATGAGGTGGAAAGATAGACAAAAAACAAAAAACATAAGTAAGTTCAAAGATATGCACCTAAGGAAAAAAAGAAAATAAAGCAGGTGGAGGGGCTTGGACAAGGGTTGTAATTCTGAAGACTAAATACTGGAGACAGCAGGTTTGTGCTCACTAACTGATAAATCATAAACTCTCACCCACTAACCTGCCTTTGTGCCACGCCCCCACACCCATAGAGACCTACACAAAACCTCCTCTAAATCAAGAGACAAAAAAAGAGAAAAATTAGCAAATATACAACTATATCTGAATTGGAAAACAATTCCAAGCACAATAAACTAAGTCAAGTTGAAATACAGGGTAGCTTTGCTTTTAGAATATAGCCTTACTCACTAACCTAACTAGGAGAGCTTACTTCAGAGCTGCTGGGTGAACTTTCACCCATATTTCCCATGCCAGCAAAAGGGAGAGAACCCTTTACTCTACTTTTTAATTATTTTAACTCAAGAAGATACCTACAAGACCTAAGACTATAGCAGTGGAGAGAGCTGGATTATGCTGATACATATTTCAAATATGAACGTGTTACTATGGTTGTAACAATCAACAGTTTTTCTCAATATTTAGTCCTGGTGAAGTGACAGGATTAAGTACGTAAGAGTCAAATTTAAATATACACCATCTGCTAAGATATCTGCCTTCAATTCATTTCCTGAGAAATTATTCTACTACTTATGTAATTAGGAATTTGGATTTAGAATATGAGTCGGGGGTGGAGAATAAGAGTGGGAATTAAGATATTTTGATCAAGATGTGCTCTTCATTTGACAGTCATACTCAGAATTATAGCACTCATGCAGGAATGGGTTAAAACTTCAAAAAGTACAAATCAGTGTAAAGAATTTTAATCATCCATCATTAAATATCAAAATCTCATTAAAAGTCTGGCACTACCTAGGCACAGACTTTTAGTTAGTTAGTCTTTTCAGTCTAAATGGCAATCCAGGTGTGCAGGTAATTTTAAATTCACTTTCTAGGCCATTTTTTCCCCCCAAAATTTATACATTGCTACTAAAAGGGGCAATAACTAATAAGTCATATTTTCTTTAAGAAATTTTAAATTAATTTTTATTAGAGTATAGTTTATTTATCAACCTATATTGTCTTAGTTTCTGCTGTATAACAAAGTAAGTCAGTTATACACATACATGTATCCACTCTTTCTTAGATTCTATTCCCATATAGGTCACTACAGAGTACTGAGTTCCCTGAGCTTTATAGCAGGTTCTTATTAGTTATCTGTTTTACATATAGTAGCGTGTGTATGTCAGTACCAATCCCCCAATTTATCCCTCCCCCCAACCATATTTTCTTATAGGTTAAAACAGAATGCAAAATATAGATACACATATGTGTATCTATATTTCTATACAAAAAATATATACAAAAAATAAAGAAAAACTAAGCTTGTAACTTTTTATCACACATGTAAAATGTAAAAATTACCTTAAAAAAGTCTCAGATATATAAAATCATAGTTCTTCAGGGCAGGGAAGAGTTAATAATAGCTCTGTTTATTAATAATAATAGCACTTACTCCATGAAAAACTGCTTTACACCTAAAATACACCCTTTAAAGCTCACAAGGTGGTGGTATTCCCCATTTCACAAATGAGAAAACAGATATAGAAATGACTTGCCCAAGGTCACCAAAGGGTAAGGTCATCAGTGGGTAAAAGGCAGAGCCAGATTGAAACTGAGAAGTCACACTCCATATCTAATATTTTTAATTGCATTACCTTAAAATCAATGAAAGGGAAGTTCAAAAGTATACATCTGATAATTTTAAAGTGTTAAACCAAAAGTGTGGAAAACAATCAAACTGTCAGGTAACATGACCAAATACTAACAGTAGGTATGTGAGTAGTAAGAGAAAGGGTGATTCTTTTTTTCTTAATCCTTTGCCCTGATCTTTGCAACATTTCAATTTCCTGCAGTGTTATGACAGGTATGCACACACATATAGAGCAGTCCCGTGGACACTAAAAACACTGGCTGAAATAACAAAGCAGAAAAGGTTCAAACATTCAAAATTAGTCCCTAACAGTAAAGGCACTCCTCTAAAAACAGCATACGGTGATTCAGAAGGAGGAAGGCATTTTATAAATTATATTTCTAATTAAGTAACCGACATTAAGTACAAGCAATAAAAAGTCACCTTTCACCTTACAGATTTGAGACGGAAGAAAAATGCTTAATTTTCCATAAGCACCCACTTTAACTCTTTCACTGCCAATTTGAAGAGAAAAAGACAATACAGCTAATGCAAGCTAACTGGTTATAGTCAGAAACAAGAGTAGAAATAGTTGGTAAAATTATCTAACATCTTGTTCCTTAAGAAACAAGGTATCTGCATTAAAAAAAAAAGTGCTTCTTCTGGAAAGTTGCAGAATCTGCCTCTTGAGATTCTATATATTATACATTCACACTGGAATTACTGGAGCTGCAACTTCCTGTTGAAATGTGGTAATAGGCAAAAAAAGTTGTGAGGGAAAGGCGTAGGGAATGGCAGTCATTTGCAAGGCTGGTTCATTTCATGCAAGAAGTAAATAAGATGCTCCCCGTTACAGGCAAGGTGCAGTGAAGCACAAAGATGTGACAGATTGGACTGTCCTTGTCCTCTTATTCCTCCCAATCCAGTAGGGACAGGTTCAAGGCCATCACTAAAGAAAGTAAGAGGAGACCTGCGGAAAATGCCAGACCGGGCGGACAGGACTCAGAGACGTTAGGGGTTACGAAGCCTGAAACCGCTACAGGACTCAAAACGAGAGAGAAAATGTCAGTCGCTGCGCCAGGGTATGAGACCGGGTTTCAGAGCAGCATCATTCCCCCTGATCTAGGGCCGCGGAGGGTGGCGGCAGCCAACGGGAGACGCGGCTCCCAGGTCTCCGCAGTTCTGGCCCGGGGCGGTGGGGTGCCTTCAACCAGGCCTCACCTGAGCAGCGGAGCGCCCTGGAGGCAGTAAAGCGGCGGAGGCTGCCAATAGCTCGAGAGGCCACCATCTTGAGCGGGAGTGGACGAAAGTGGAAAGCCCTTCGAGTGCGGGCAGCCGAGTAGAGGACTTTTCTTCCCGCAGCCTGGCACTGGCCAGGCGCCCGAAGTACTGCCTGACTGAAAACCCGCAACTGAAACCCCGATGGCTAGGTGCCGCCGGCTCCTTAACCTTGCCCTTCGCTTCCGGCTAACGCCGCGTTAGCCGAAAAAAAAAAAAAGGACACTTTCTCCGCAGGGAAGGAAGAAAGCGCAGAGAGGAGGACAGCCTTCCGGAGTCAGGCAGCCGGCGAGCAGCCAGGGAGGCCTGTGAGGCCCGCGAAGGGTCCTTTCCAGGGAGGCCCCGCCTCTTGGTCCCCGTCTGGTCCTGTCATTAGGGCTGGAGCCCTGCCTGTGGCTGGAGTCTGAGCCGACGCGACCTAAGGTGAGAAGGGGCGTGCGCTCGGCTGCCGCCTGGCCTTTCTCCGGCGGGGTCCGCAGTTTCCCGCCTGCTACGCCTGTGCCCGCGGCCGCCTGGCCTCCACTCCCTGGGGGAGTGGAGTTCGAGGGAGCTTGGAAGTTTCTCAGTCCGGGTCTCCAGTACCACTGCAGTTTGGGCAGTAATTTGGCCTAGCGTTCTGTCTGTAGCTCCGAGCAACGATGTCGCCTATGCCTTTTAATTTATCACCGCAAGTTAACGAACTTGTGTGTGTGTGTGTGTGTGTGTGTGTGTGTGTGTGTCGGTTTAAAGCGCTGGCCTTTGTTCCAGTGGTGTTATATCCCCTATTTTGCCTGTAGGCAGGTCGGCGGCTATTGAAAATCGGAACAGGGCCAGGAATTTACCCCTTTTATGCTTCCAAGGGTGGATCTCGGTCGTGTAGCTTTTTTGGGACTCACTTGTCGGAGGAACAAAGGCATTCCCTGTGTCCGGCTCCGACAGCCAAGGTTCACGATCATTTTCTAATCGAGAAGGGAACCGAAGATCATCTGGTCTTTCATCTCCTTCACTGCATCGGTGCTGCCCATGAATCAGAGTGAGTCAGTTTACCCATGGCCACAAGTGGTAGCCTGTGTCTACTGACTTCTAGTCAAGAGCTCTGCGCTGCATGATAGCTGTTTTTGTGCTGGAGAGAGAGGCTTGAGCACTGGCATAAATTAATTGATTCCAGAAAGTGATGTTGAGGACCCTCTAGGTCGTTTCACCGCCATCTCATTTAATCCTCACGATCCCCAAACTGTTATTTACGTTTTGTAGGTAAAGTTTGGGGGGCATGGAGATTTATATAAATTATTTGTTAGGTGACAGAGCCAGATTCGGGCATAAATTTGTGCCACGTTTCACCAGATTGCATGTTCCTCGGGAGAGGGAGAAGGAAGAGGCAGGGGGAAACGGCAGGGAAGTTGAGACTGAATTGAGGAGTATGGGAAGAAGAGAGGTTTCTGTTTAAAGCTCAAGTCAAATAGTGAGTCTTCCATCACTGTGAGCACGTTAAGCAGAATCTGGATGAGCAGTGACCTCCTAATTTGCAAGAAAGGATTCTTGATGATCACCAGAGGCCCTCCAACTTACAAGGTTTTTACAGTTCAAAGCTTGTCCTGCCCATGTAATGCTTTTTCTTCATCTAATTCAGTGTAGTACTTATTGTTTAGATCAGGAATGGCAAACTTTTTCTGTAAAGGGCCAGGTAGTAAATAGTTCAGGCTTTATAACCCACATTGATCTCTGTCATATGTTCTTTGTTTTATTTTGCTCTACAACTCTTTTTTTTTTTTTTTTTGCTCTACAACTTTTTAAAAATGTGAAATCTGTTATTAGTTAGAGGCCCATGGGTTGTAGTTTGCCAGCCTCTGATTTAGGTCACCATTTGACTGACTTTTTTGTTTCTTGTACTCTGAACAAAATTGTAAGCTCCATCAAGGACAGAAATGTTATTTTTCTCACTGTGGCTTTCATAAGGGGAACTAAAGACTTTTATACCATCACCTACTGATACTAATAGCAAGCACAAGTATAACTCTTTATGGAGTATGGGTTTTAACCCTTTGTTTTCCATGTTACAAATGTTTTCTCTGAATCTGTTGTTAGCCTTTTAACTTTATTTTAGTATCTTTTACTGTGTAGATATTATAAATGCTTATTTAATCACATTTTTTTGTTATTTTCCATTGTGGCCTCTGGGTTTTATCCCATATGTTGGAAACCTTTCCCCATCTAAGATTGTAAAAATATTCTCTGATATTTTCTTGTAGCAGGTTAAAAAGTATATATTTACATTAATCCATCTGTAATTTGTACTTATAGTGTGAGAAATGGATCTATTTTTTTCCCAGTGGTTAGACATTTCCCCAGCAAATCTATTGAGTAAGTCATCTTTCTCCCATTATTTGAAATGTTTTCTTTATTATATACTATGTTTTCATACACATGAGTATGCTTCTGAACTTACTACATCCTGTTCTGTTGATTCAGTTCAGTTCAGTCGATCAGTCGTGTCTGACTCTTTGTGACCTCATAGACTGCAGCATGCTTCTCTGTCCATCACCAACTCTTGGAGCTTACTCAAACTCATGCCCATCGAATTGGTGATGCCATCCAACAATCTCATCCTCTGTTGTCCCTTCTCCTCCTGCCTTCAGTCTTTCCCAGCATCAGGGTCTTTTCCAATGAGTCAGTTCTTCGCATCAGGTGGCCAAAGTATTGAAGTTTCAGCTTTAGGATCAGTCCTTCCAATGAATATTCAGGACTGATTTCCTTTAGGATCAGCACTGTTTAATTTCTTGTGCTTTATAGAAAGATTTGATATCTGTTAGAGCAAGGTCTCTCTTTTTTTTTCAATCAATATTTTTTTAACTGTTTTCATGAACTTTATTTCAAAATAATCTTTACTTATGGAGACTTGTATTCCTGACTCAAGTGGCATCAAATGTTGCTTCTGGATAAAGTGGTCCTCATCTAATGGGCCAGTTTGTGTCTTCCTGGCCAGAGTCGTTGAATATATATAAGCTGGTGAGCCTAGAGGTTGGACTCCTCTTTTCAATCCATATATTTGATAAATGTGATTTTTTTTCTTTTTGGAAGCCACAGGACATCTCTTTTTAGTCTATGAAGACCTAACAGAAATTAAACAAGGCTTTTATATTAGCTATTGCTGTATAAAGTTGGACCACAGAGAAGGCTGAGTGCCAAAGAATTAATGCTTTCGAATTGCAGTGCTAGAGAAGACTCCTGAGAGTTCTCTGGACTGCGGGGAGATCAAGCCTGTCAATCCTAAAGGAAATCAACCCTGAATATTCATTGGAAGGAATTTTCATTGGATGCTGAAGCGCTAATACTTTGGCCATCTAATGGGAAAAGCCCATTCGTTGGAAAAGAGCCTGATGCTGGGAAAGATTGAAGGCAAAAGAAGAATGGGATGGCAGAGGATGAGATGAGATTAGATAACATCCTCGACTCAACAGACATGAATTTAAACAAACTCTGGGACGTAGTGAAGGATGGGGAAGAAGGGCATGCTGCAGTCCATGGGATTTCAAAGAGTCGTACACGACTTAGTGACTGAACAACAAACAACAATTGTTGTGTAACAAATTACTCCAAAATTTAGTAGCTTAAAACAATAAAAATTTATTATCTCATACAGTTTCTGAGGGTCAGGAATCTGGGGTGACTTGGCTGGGTTGTTCTGGCTTAGAGTTTCTCATGAGGTTGCAGTCAGAATGTTGTCCAGGCCTGTAGTCATCTGAAGACTTGTCTGAGCTAGAGGATCCACTTCCAAGCTCACTCACATGACTGTTGACAAGAGGCATCATCCTCTTACCTCATCATGAGAGCCTCTTCCTGGGGCTCTTCCTGATGTGCCAGCTGCCTTCTCCTGGAGCGAGTGTTCTGAGAGACAGACCAAGATGGGAACTGCAGGATCTCTTACAGCTGAATCTAAAAAGTGACGTCTCATCACTTCTGGTGTATTCTTTGTTTACACAGACCAACCATGTAAATAAAAATTCAGAGAAGTGGAATTACTGGTCAGAAGTTAGGTGTAGTTGTAATTTTTTGATAGTTAATTGCCAAATTGCCCTCCATAGGAATGTACCTGTGGAGGTGCAACAGTTTATACTCTGAGCAGCAGTATATGAGAGAGCCTGTTTGTGCAGCCTCTACCACACAGTGAATGTCAGACCTCTAACTCAAATAGTATACCTCTGTGCTGCTGTAATTTGTGTTTCTTTTATGAGTGAGATTGAACATGTATCTAAGAGCCATTTGTGTTTCCATTTCCATGAATACTTTGTTCATATCGTTTCCCCATTTTTTTCTTACTGTTTCATAGGAACTCATTATGGGGAATTTAGGAGAATGTTTTAATATATTTAAAATATGTTTTAATATGTAGGAGTTTTGTATTTTTATTATTTTGAAATAATATCAAGCTAGTGTAGTGTATGAACTTTTTTTCTTATATCAGGTAAGAAGTGATACTGTACTATCTTTGAATACTTGAGTGTGTATTTCCTTCAAATACAAATATTCCATAAGACATTCTACGTCATCACAATACAACCATCAAAATCAGGAAAGTCACATTGGTGGCTTCCTGATCCTGTCCAACAGTCTCTAACCCTTTGACCCTAGAGAAAAACATAAGCTCTGGAGCTAGCATGCGTGCGTGCTCAGTTGCTTCAGTCAAGTCCAACTCTTTGTGATCCTGTGGACGGTAGCCTGCCAGGCTCCTCTGTCATGGGATTCTCCAGGCAGGAATACTGCTGGAGCTAGACTGTCTGGCTTCAAATCATAGCTCTGCCTCTTACTAGTTACTCAATTCCTGTATGCTTCAGTCTCTCATCTCTTACAAATAATACAGTAATCATGCTTGCTTCACAGGTCCTTTTGAGAATTAGATTAATGCTTAGATTAGTGGTTTGCATACTATGAAAGCTATGTCAACATAGCTATAATATTAGGAGAAAGGCAGTTGGTAATAGAGTACATTTTTAGTATTTTATAGTAACCATGGGTGAGATCAGAGATCATAGCCTACAGTGTAAACTACAGGTTGTTCAAATAACCCAAAAAGTCTTTTTGTTTTCTTTTTCAGATTTCAAAATGACTTCCCTCTTGACTTACACTTTTAAAAATCTTCCCAGTACATCAAAATGGGCCCTCAGATTTTGTAAGTTTCATTTGTTCTTTTTAAGATTAGATTTGAATGTGTAAGCATCTTGTGCAAACATGGAATTGTATTGCTTTTTGTAAACACTTGATTTTGTCTTCCAGGTGTGAGACCTCTGAGCAGTTCCTCCCAGCTACAGGCTGCTGCAGGTACAGTAATTTGTAAAAAATAAAAATATTTCTGATTTAAAAGTTAGATTATAGGATCTAGATTTGTGAATTTTGAATAAAAACCAAAACTAGTTTGCTAACTCTCCCCTTTTTATGATCAATAAGAACATCACTGTTGCCTTCAAATTAAAACAATACAGGACCAATCAGTAATGATAGTACATGGTGTAAGGTGGGCTTGAGGATGTTGGCTGGAGGTTTCTTTCTGGGATGTGGAGCCTATGGAGTCACTGAGGTTCTGTGAACTTCCTAGTTAGTTTACTCAGCTACTGGCTGTCAGTCCTAAAGATGCGTGTGTGCTGAGTCACGTCCAACTCTTTGTGAACTCACAGGTTGTAGCCTACCAGGCTCCTCTGTTCATGGGATTGTCCCAGGCAAGAATACTGGAGTGGGTTGCCATTTCCTCCTCCAGGGGCTCTTCCTGACCCAGGAATTTAACCTGTGTCTCCTGCATTGGCAGGTGAATTCTTCGCTAAGCCACCAGGGAAGCCCCAGTCCTAAAGATGATTAGTCTCCATCTGTTGTGGAGCCAAAAGTTAACTTTTTACACTTTCAGTGACAGGCTCCTGTTACTGAGTATGTTCTTAGTCCATATGCAAGAGGATGCATATCTGAAATAGGTGTGACTGTGGGACTAGTTAATAAAAGAAGGTTGTTTAGTCAATATGAAATGAAAAAAGAAGGAAATTTGTTGATACTATATGGTCTTTTAGACCCTTGGTAAACCCAACAGATTAGACTTCTTCACTGTTGAATACATACATTTGCAGAACCCGCTGTAGTTTTGTATATTCACTTGCCTGGGTCCTATATTGATCTATGACTTCTGATTTTGGTCTTATTATGGTATTTCTACTTGGATAATAATGTAATAGAAAAAATTCTTTACCAAGATTCAGAAGACCTCAGCTTTGGTTCAGTTCTTCTTCTTTCTGGGCAGTTTGGCCTTGAACTGATCATGTCATTTCCCTGCTTTATAGTTTTTTAAATCTAACAAAGAATAGTAATTTTAGCCATGTTAACCTCAAGTAGTTATTAAGATATCTCAAACACTTTGAAATCTGTAAATTCAGTGGAAGTACAAGATGATATTTTTATATTGTTTTACATATATTATATTCCCAGGGGTCTGTTACTTAATCCCACCTAGAAAAGTTTCATTTTGTCATATAAAAAAGATATTTTCTTTGGCTTCTAAACTCTAACTAGAATATAGATATGTGTTAACCTCATGAAGAATAATAATAATGCCTTTCCATCTCATTTCACCTTTCACCTAATTCTAATGTTCACTCAGAAATTCCTATTGCAGTCACACAGATAGGTCTGTTTCTTGCCAGCTGGGAGAAAGTCACCTTGAATACCACATTAAATACCATTTTTTTCTGGCATTTAGAATATTCTTCTTTATATTGCTCTTAAACAGTTTTTGTGTTTCTCTCTCCCCAACTAAATTGTAAACCTTTGTGAGACTTAAGCCTTGTCATGTTACTGGTGTTTAACCCTGTTCTACAAGTGGTTTGCTTTAACATTGATGTTGATAGTGGTGCAAGAAGGCACATGGTAAGACAAAGGAATGTGATCAGCTGATTTGATGGGAGGAAAAGGGAGTGTACTCATGCTGAACAGGCTTTAGTTTACAATAGGGTAGCAGAGGGCATAAAGAGGGAACTTGGGTTTTACTTTCTATATTTTAGTATTATTTATTTTTTTCTTTTTTAACCACCACTCATGTTTTATTTTTAATTAAATCATTAGAAAAAGGTTGCTCTTTTGATGTTACAAAACAGCTACACAAATTGAGTCATACAGAATCAGGAAGCATGCTAGGTTTTTGTCAAATGGCAGTAGTCACCAACCAGATGCCTTTATTTCTACATAGAAAAGCAAGAGTATTAAGCTATGTGAAGAATAAAACAGTATCTGTTATTCTAACTTCTAGTATTAAGGACAGACTTAATCAGTTGCTTTCAGTGAAATGGATTGTCAAGCACTTGATAAAAGTAATTTGTTAATGACATAAGTGATATTATCACTGGGTATAATCTCTGTATTTGTGTTAAATTTTATTTGGAAACTTGTAAATGCTCGTTAATTTCTTAATCCTTTTTTTTTTTTTAGTTGGAGTGGTTTGGTAAATGACTAATGCAATTTGGCATTGAGTGATAAAATTCTTCTTAGAATGTCTCTTTAAAAATATAAAAACTTACCTGACTTCTTGTTTTAATTAATTTTTCTCTGAACTTTATCTTAAAGATTCCCAGACTAAATCGAAAAAAACCCTAGCCAAACCCAATATAAGGAATATTGTGGTGGTGGATGGTGTTCGCATTCCATTTTTGCTGTCAGGCACTTCGTAAGTATGAAATGATTCTGTTACTTGTTATTACTTTTTTTTTCTTTGTTTTCTCCAGCTGTATCAAGGTATGATTAACAAATAAAAACTGCATATATTTAGGTTGTACAATGTAATTTTTTTTTTAAGGTATACAATGTGATGATTCAATGTATATTGTTGTTCAGTCACTAAGTTGTGTCCAACTCTTTGCAACACCATGGACTGCAACACGCTGGGATTCCCTGTCCTTAACTATCTCCTGGAGTTTGCTCATGCTCACGTTCTTTGAGTCAGTGATACCATCCAACCATCTTATTCTCTGTTGCCCCCTTCTCCTGCCCTTGGTCTTTCTCAGCATCAGGGTCTTTTCCAGTGAGTTGGCTCTTTGCATCAGGTGACCAAAATATTGGAATTTCAGTTTCAACTCAGTTATTCCAATGAATAGTCAAGGTTGATTTCATTTAGGATTGACTGGTTTGATCTCCTTGCTGCCCAAGGAACTGTCAAGAGTCTTCTCCAGCACCACAGTTTGAAAACATCAATTCTTTGGCGCTCAGCCTTCTTTATGATTCAACTTTCACACCTGTACATGACTACTTGAAAAACCATACCTTTGACTATATGAACCTTTGTGGGCAAAGTGATGTCTCTGATTTTTCATACACTTTCGAGGTTTGTCATAGCTTTTTTCCCAAAGAGCAAGCTTCTTTTATTAATTTCATGGCTGCAGTCACCATCCAAGTGGTTTTGGAGCTCAAGAAAGTAAAGTCTGTCACTGTTTCCATTTTTTCCCCTTCTATTTGCATGAAGTGATGGGACTGGATGCCACGATCTTAACTTTTTGAATGCTGAAGTTTAAGCCAGCTTTATCACTCTTGCACCTTCATCAAGAGGCTGTTTAGTTCCTCTTTGCTTTCTGCCATTAGAGTGGTGTCCTCTGCGTATCTGAGGTTGTTAATATTTCTCAAGGCAGTCTTGATGCCAGTCTGTGAGTCATCCAGCCCAGCATTTCACATGATGTACTCTGCATATAAGTTAAATAAGGAGAGTGACAATATACAGTCTTGACGCACTCCTTTCGCAATTTTGAACCAATCTGTTGTTCCTCGTCTGGTTCTAACTGTTGCTTCTTGACCTATATTTAATGTGTATATACATTGTGAAATGATTACCACAGTCAAGTTAATTAACATATCCATCACCCCTTATAGTTTATTTATTCCTTCTTTTAAGGTGTTGTCAAAAGGAACCTTTGTGAATGTAACCCAGTAGGTAATACTGTTGCTGAAAGTGTTAGTCACTTAGTTGTGTCCAACTCTTTGTGACCATGTGGACTGTAGCCCTCCAGGTTCCTCTGTCCATGGAATTCTCCAGGCAAGAATACTGGAGTAGGTTGCCATTCCCTTCTCCTGGGATTTTCCCAACCCAGGCATTGAACTCAGGTCTCCTGGATTGTAGGCAGATACTTTACCATCTGAACCACCAAGGAAGCCCCTAATAATATTGCTGCTGCTAAGTCAATTCAGTCGTGTCCGACTCTGTGTGACCCCATAGATGGTAGCCCAGCAGGCTCCCCCGTCCCTGGGATTCTCCAGGCAAGAGTACTGGAGTGGGCTGCCATTCTCTTCTCCAATAATATTGCTGGTCAACTAATGTATAACTAATACTTTCGTGAAATTAATACAGAATAATTCAGTAGTGAAATAGCGTGGCAGAATCTGTTTTTCATCTTTTCTCATGAGCTAGTCTAGTGTAGTGTTAGACTGAACTAGCTATATTTTGAAAACCTAGTGTGGGACTAGGTAGCTTGCTTCCAACAGATGCCCTTTCCTCATCTGGAGAGAAATACATTGTTTCTATGCCTCTTCAGAAGTTTAAATACTGAGACCATGGGCCTGTGGGCACCTTGAAGGGACTTTAATCTGCTGCTTTGGCTTTCTGGAAATTATCAGAATTGGAGTTGATGGACTGGTCCAAATCATTGTACAGCACAGTCCCAAATATATGGAATAACAATGGTCCTAGACCAACCCTCAAGTCCCCCAGAACCTAACTACTGTTCCCCCTAGATTTCTTTTCTCCTTTTCTGTTCCCAGCTGAGGCCCAGTCTGTCTAAAAGTTGATGATGGACTTTGGGAACTAAGTGAAAATTAAATGAAACATTAGTTGTATTCTGTTAAGATTATTTTGATGTTCACGTTTTGAACTAGCAGTCACTAACTTAAAAACAAGCTAAGAAAAGTTATCTACTAAAAATAATGAGACCTTTCTATACTAATATGGAAATGTCTTGGAGATATGTTAGGTGTAAAAAGCAAAGTTCAGAGCACTGTGTATAATGCCACCATTTATGGAAGATATGGACGTGTGTATGCATGTGTATGTATGTATATGTATGTGCAGGCATGCATACATGTACATACAGAAACAAGAAACGTTCGTTTTTAAACAGTGGTTTAGGACCTAGAGAGTATCTTCTTAGGTAAGTAAATGGTGAAGATTCTTCACCTTCTCAATATGATACCTTTCTTGTATGGACACAACAGTAGTAAGAGTAAGAATCTGAAGCTTTAGCAGCAGAAAAATAATGTGAGGGGATCCTTGTCGTATTTAGCAGCAGCAGGATAGGAAAAGAAACTTCCATCAAGAGAAGAAAATTCTTGACTAGAAAGGCCATTTTTTAGTAAACGTTGTTTGTATACTGTGTAGAAGTTTGAGTCTAACTGTTTCACTAGCCGTTGAAAAAATATGAACATGCTCAAAGATACCATTTACACATTTCCTTTGATAGTTGGTATCAAACTATCAAAGGTGAAATTTGATTTGAGATATTCAGCACATTGGTATAGGTTTTATTCCATTTGTTATTTTTTATTATTATGTTTTAGTTTAATTTAGAATCCTAATTGAGGAAGAAGATAAAGTTCATGAGTAATTTAGTAGCACAGAGAAGAATGTTGAGTAATGGTAGGCAAATATAGTTAATAGAGAAGAAGGAATAAAAATTTTAAGGTACTATTCGTGTGCAAAACAAAAATGACTAAAAATAATGCAGAGAGAAGAATTTATAAAGAAGACAAATAGTTAAATCATATTATTAATCTTACGATTGAGGTAACAAATGAGTCTTCTAAAAAATAATTTTCTAGATGGAAAAAGATTTTTTTCTGTTTAATTTGCTTTCAGCTTTCAACTTAATTTGCTTTGCTTTCAACTTGTGTCACTTGAAAGACCTATAGATATTTTGGAAGTATTTTGGAAGCACTGTTAGGAATATACTCCAGCAGTGACATGTGGGAATCTTTCAGCATCCTGGCTGAGAGGGAGTTACAGGAGCATGAGAAGAAAAATTGTAAAATGATAGATAATTGTGGTTTAAGCATTTTAAAATTGATACACTTTTGTCCAAGTTACTCTGCTGTAAATTTTAGGGAACTGGTGTTCCCTATAAAAGATTTTTAAAATCACCGATGGTTCTTCTAGTGACTCACAGTAAAAAAAACATTTCTGAATTTTCAGGTTTTAATTTTCAGGAATTTAAAGAATAAATATTCTTATTTAATCCAGCTACATCTGGAACATTTCATAGTTCCAGAAAGTAAAGAAATGCTTTAAAGAAAGGGGCATGTCAAAAAACACAGGACCAACCTAAAATAACTTCCAATGACAAAAATTAGGAAAATTTTATTAATAAAATAAATTATAATAGTATAATATTATACTATAACTCAAAACATTAGATATCTATGAATCCAATCTGATATAAATAAATGATTGAATAAAGAAATAAAAGAGAAAAGACAAGTCTTTCTTGAAGAGTTTCAATTAATAAATACAGAAGGAATGAGGGAAATAGATAAATCATCACAAGAATAGCTGCTGCAACCAGGATCTAGGAATGAATGCTAAAATTAGTGGGTGAGAAAGGTTAAGAAGGAACAAGATATTGGCATAGCCTCAATTCTCTCCCCCAAAATATTTATTAACTATTGTGAGGATTTTAACATGTGCCCACAAATTCTTTGTTGCTTTTCCCACTAGGAAGTGGAGCTTAATTCTTCCCTTGAGTAAGGGCCAGAAGTGACTCACTTCTAATAAATTGAGTTCAGAAAGAGAAAATTAATGAAGAAAACTGGCAGACACTGATTCAACTAAATGATCAAGTTAATATCACTAGTAAGAAGTTATGTTGCTTTCACGTTCACTCTGATTAAGAAGCAGAGGGTATTTTACCTCTGTGATACTCTTCCCTGGTGTCCATAACCCCAGTCTTCCAAGTGTCAAGGTCAAGAAGGATAAGGAAAGACTGAGAAACGGTCACCAATTGGAGGAGATTAAGGAAGCATGATAAGTAAAGGCATGGACTGGAACCTGGAACAGACCAGTAATAGGGAAATAGTGGAAAAACTGACGAGGTCAGGTCAAGCTTAGCGAGTAGTAGTGTGCTGGTGTTAATTTCTTAGTTTTGACAAGTGCATCATGTTTACATAAGATTAGCATTAGAGGAAGCAGGGTGAAGGGTATGGAGGAACTCTGTTCTTTCTTTCCAATTTGTAAAACCTTAGATAACTTCAAAACCAAGTTTTCTTTAAAAGTCCTAATATATCCCTCATGTCCCTTTAGACCTCACAAAATAACTAATGAATTTTTTAAAAATAAAAGGGAACTTAAAACAGTGGGGTTTAGTTTTGCAGAATATTTGCCATATGTCATGCTGAACAGTAAGACAGTGGGCAGGATTTTTGTTCAGTTCTTAGCTTAAAAGGTGTCAAGACTTGTCAGAGTTTTAAGGATGACAAATAGCAAAGTCATACTGTGTCTTTGTTTGAAATGATGTTAAGTGCTTTTATATTAATAGCAGCTTATGGTTAGCTTATTTCTTTAGATATTTCAAATAGAATGAAAAACATTTTTTATTAAAGCTCTAGGTTTTTGGTTAAATTATTTATTTTCTTCCTCCAGATATAAAGACCTGATGCCACATGATTTGGCTAGAGCAGCACTTTTGTAAGTAAATGCAGTTACATTTTAGATCTTATTTCAATAAAAACCCTTTTCTCCAGTTTTTACACTTGAAATAGCATGTCTAATAGAATTCCCATAGCTAAGATATGTTAACTTTATGCGGTGAGAAAAAGCACTTAGTAGATTTTATAAGATTCATCTAGTCTTCATTTTAGCCATGTGTGCTACACAAATTCAAGCAGGTGGTGAATGTCAATGATCTTTATTTTGCAGGCTTGACGATCTCTTGGCATGATAGTATTCCTTAATGTACTGTAGCTAGCTGCAGGTTATAAACAGTGTAGGACTGGATTGATCAGGCTAAAAACCAATACGTGTATTTGATGGTTACCTCAGAAACTTCATTACTGTATGAGTATAGCTGAACAGATTATGCAAATACAGATGCAGAACCTGTGTATACAGAAGACCAGCTGTGTACTAATGGCATAGTACAGCATCCTCAGAATTTCATATTCATGGTGGGGTAGGGGTGGAGGTATGTATTTATCTAGAAAGAAGCCTAGAATGAGACATGAAGATTCCTCATTTAGCTTTCGTAATTGTTATCATTTTGCCATGTGTGCTGTGCTTAGTCACTCAGTCGTGTCCAACTCTTTGAGACCCCGTGGACTGTAGCCCATCAGGCTCCTCTGTCCGTGGGGCTTCTCCAGGCAAGAATACTGGAGTGGGTTGCCATGTCCTCCTCCAGGGGATCTTCTCGACCCAGGGATTGAACCCAGGTCTCCTGCCCCAATTTTTTCTTTCCATATTTAGTATTTTTTTTTTCCCAGACCAGGATCTGGTCAAAATTCATATTATTATGCAAATGAATGTATCTCTTTAGTCTCTTTTAATTTAGGACATCCCCCCAACCCACTCCCCTTGATAGTGACGTTTTGAAAGGTCCAGGCCAGCTGTTCTGTAGAATGTCCCACATTCTGGATGTATTTTTCTAGTAATATTTAACTCTCCTTGGTGAATTTCCTGTAAACTGAAAGTTAATCTCTAAGCTTGATTAGATTCAGGTTAAACATTTTTTGGTAAGAATGCTTCACAGGTAAAGCATATGTCTATTGCATCATGTCAAGAGGCACATGATGTATAATGTTAAATCGAACTCTTCAGTCAGAGTGGTCAAACCACCAGATCTTTTGGTGATAAATGTGTGTTTTTTTTCTTTTGCAATTAGTAAGTCATCTGTAAGGTGATATCTTAACACCATATTCCCCAGCAACCTTTGACCAAGTGGCTTTAGCATTCATTGATAATTTTTGCCTGGATTAGTTATTATGTTAGAGATGATAAAATTTTGACTTTACTTATTCTTTTATTCCTCCTATATTTATTGGTTGATATTTTTATGTAAAGAGCAGCTTTCCTTTTCAAAAAAATGATGTGTTTATATTGATATTTCAAATTTAAATGTAACATATTTGGGATTTTACTTCATCTCTTTAATTTTCTGTTTGTTTCTCTTTTCTTTTTGACTGAAAACTTTGGTTTATGTATCTGTTTATCCTATTCCAGATTTTTTTCTTTCATTTTTTATTGGAGTATTGTTGATTTACAGTATTAGTTTCAAGGGTACAACAGAGTGATTCAAAATTTTTATAGATTATATTCCAAATTATTGATGATTCTTCCTATTTAACTTTTTATTGCCAATTGAGCATCAAAAGTTGACTTTTTAAATCAGTCTTTGATAGTGTGCCACATGCTTGTCAAATTAAGGAAGAGATACAGTCTCTACTTTTTTAAATTCAAAGATAACCTTTTAACCAGAGTTAACTGTAATGTTTTATGTGATGATCTGTGGCACTGTCTTGAATGTATGAAATGTTTCTTTGCTTTTAACTTCTGCCTGCAGGGGTTTATTGCATCGGACCATTGTCCCAAAGGATGTTGTTGATTATATCGTCTTTGGCACAGTTATACAGGAAGTGAAAACAAGCAATGTGGCTAGAGAGGTGAGTCAAACGTTATGTTGTTTGAAGAGATTGATAGGAGAATCAATTTGAATTTTAGTTAATAGAATTTACTCTTTAAAAGCTATTAAAATTCACTAAAGTTATATTTAATTTAAAATGTGATTTTACTATTTGAATTATTTTATATTTAAAAAAATTGTATAAATCAAATGATGTACACTATACTAGTATATGTTTATGCTGTATTATAAATCAAATCAATTATTTGAGCTGGTTTTGGATATATTTGTATTTCTCTTAGGAAAACAGAGATTTTGGCAAAGCATCGCTGATGTGACTTTTTGTAATGTGAGATATAGTGACCTCCAGTCAACTTAAAATTTCCATTTTACAGAGAACTTATTTCATATCCATGGTTTTTGTTGGAGGGAGTTGTGCTTATTCATTTGTTCCCTTTGACTAGTGGGCACATAGGGCATTTTTTTTTTTTTAAACTATTTCATAGGAATTTACCTTTACCCCAGTTGGCAAAGCTCCATGTACTGTTTATTGAGCAACTGAGATAGAGAGGCCTTGGCACTTCTGTGGCATGTCCCACAGTCATTTCGTAATGAAGACTCCAAAAACGTTTTCTGAGCTTTGTTTCCATTCGCAAGTGGCTATTTGGATAAGGTTGGCTCCAAAGCACATTTCAGTGTGCTGAGCATTTTCTGTATTTCTAGTTTGTGCTTGCCATACAATTGCGTTCAGTATAGTTGGAAGGGCCATAACTTTCACCACTGTCAGCCAAGAGAAAGGAAAAGGAGTATGACTGGAAGTATGTGTTTTGTCCCACCTTTTTACTCATCAGTAAATGTTCAAAAGTAAATGTTCAAACTGCTGAAGGCCTGGTGTTGATAATCAAGTCCACAATAATCAACTGTTGCATATTGTAAGGAGGCAGGAAAGGATTAAGAACAGGAAGAGGTTTTCTCCCCACCTCCTAATTTTTTGGAGTTTCCTTGATCTTCACACTTCTAAATGTATCAAGCATGACAATTTCAAGCATGAATATATCAAGTTATTCATAATGCATTTTCAGCTCTTATATTCTGGGGAAAAAAAACAAAGTGACTCTTACAAGAGCACTTAAAAGTAAATGTTGAATCTGTTTCAATTTTCTCTATATATCTATTCTGTCTCAACAATTAAAGCCTTGTTTTTTTCTAAATTTTTTCCTGGAAATTTTATATCCATGTGCAAATCTCAGCTATTGATTGACATGTGGTAGATCCCTCTCCTGGCCCTGTACTAATAATACTAAAGGCTTAATTCAGAGAATATTAGAATGTCTTTTTAAAGTGATTTTGCAACCTGAAGGCTGCTATTGACTTCCAGCAAGAAAACTTTCAGAACCTCTTGTCTGTGGTAACAGTGTAATGATAAAATCCTGAAAGGCTTCTGATGCTGAGTTCCCATGAACCTGACTTTAATGAATGCCTCAGCTTATTTCCCTGCTCTCCAGCTTACCTAAGAGACATCTTCCTCCTTTCCCTTCATTGCACCATCTAGAGCCTAAGCTTGCCTTGAGAGCTATTCAAACTTTAAATAGAAGCACGGAGACAAGGTTCACCAGCAACCACTTCTATTTAAAGTTCCTTCAGTCCTGAGTCTCTTGGGGCCAAGGGTATGACACTTGTTAGAAAGGATTGCCTGAGGATCAGGCCTTTACGACCTGAGTGCCCTTTACCCTTGCCTCACTGGGGAGCTCTTTTCCCCTTCCCGGTGGAGACTTGCCTTTCTCTTCCTTTTGGATTGGTTTACATCAAGAGCCTGAAGTGCAGTTGCCAGTAGGTAGTTTTTAGCAAAGTGAAGAGTATAAAGCTGAAAATCAGTTAAGAAACAGCCCTTTTGGAAGCATGTTAATCTTACCAAATGATAGGAAATCTTGTATTCTGAGGATTGTTAAATAGTTTCAGAAAAAAATTAATTCCCTTAATAGGAACCAGAGTTTCATAGTAAGTGGTGGTGGTCGGGGACATGAGGTGTTGAGAGCTTTGTTTTTATTTATTTATTTATTTTTCGAGAGCTTTGTTTTTAAAGTGAAACTTTTAATATTATAAAAATAAGTATTGAATATTTTATTTTTGTACCTATGCATCAGTTCTTATACATGAACAAAAATAGAATCAGGCATTCATTGTTTCTTTGGCAGTGTAATTAACTCAATAAATGGTATAATAAAATAATAGACATCCTTATTTCTATTTTTGCAAGATTAATGGAGGGGCTGTTTTTCTCAAGGTCCTTCAAATTAATTCTCTTTTGAAATACCTCTTATGTCATCTTCCTGACCAGTTTCCTTGTTTCTAGTTGTTAACTGGTCCAGTCCTTATTTTTCAGAGACTCACTTGTGGCCCAGGCAGTTTTCCAGAATTTTTTTCATTCACTTGAACTTTTGGATATTTGGCATGTTTTCCAACTCGGCTGTGCTTTGGATTGACAGTGTGCTGTCTGAAATATCAGGCAATCACTGAAAGTAGAGACGAACGTAGAGCAAGTCAGGGACCTGTGTGGGAATCTGTTCATGAATGGTCAACTCTTTAGAAATTATTTTCATGTCTGATGACTTTGCTTTACTTCTAAGCCTTATAACTGCAGGAACACAGGTCATGAGACTCTCACCCCATGATATATTTCATCATTCCACCAACCATATGTAGCAGGTTTACTTTAGGTCTATTTGAAAATTTTAAATGAGTTAAAATCAAATTATATATTAATGTTCTTAGAAGCGCTGGGAAAAGCATTGCTAAGAGAGGAGGTGAACTGCCAGAGGACTGTAGGCTTGTATACCACACTAGAAAATTGCTGCAAGGAATTTGGCAGTGCTTGTTGATTAATGGCTAGATAAAAAAATTCATAAACCATTTCCATGATGGGCTTAGTTGTATTTTAAATATTCCTCTGTGAGATATTAGCTCCTTTCCTGATCTACCATATAGTGAAGTACTGCTCACAGCACCACTCACATGTTGCACTTCCTTTATAAGTGATCATTGCATTCACTGTATTTTCTGAAGGCTGCCCTCGGAGCCGGCTTCTCTGACAAGACTCCTGCTCACACTGTCACCATGGCTTGCATCTCTTCCAACCAAGCCATGACCACAGGTATGTTTTTTTTTTTGACAGCAGAAGGTACATGTTGGTTCTCCTTTGTCTTTTCTATGATCATTAAAAATTATTCTTGACAGAAATAAATGATCTCTGAATTTGTGTGTTTCAGAAAATAAAGTAGCATTTACATTTTTTGATTTTTGACAGTAGTTCTCTACCTTTTTCTTGCCCTCCATACCTGAGGACCACAACCATTCATGTAATTTCTCCGTCAGTAGTGTGGCTGGCTATCACAGGGGTTATTAACTGGAGGGCATACTTCTGGATTTGAAGCAAGAGGAGTTTATCACCTGCTAGGTTTTAAGATTAGGTGATTCTAGCATGATACACCCCCACGAAGATGGTGGCCTTCCTCCCTCCACCATCATCATAGCGATAAATCACTGACTTGGATGGTACAGCTCTTGGCTCTACTTTCCCCCCACATCTTGGTCTTTTTATAATTATTTACAAATTCTCACAACAAACTGAGCAAATCTGTGGAACATTTTGTAACACCAGCCCTTACTGTGAAGAGACAGGAAACCTGAAAGATATAGTGATCATGTGCTCTCTTAGTGATATCAAGGCCAAGTGGCCAGCCTACCATAAAGGTGGCAGGGAATGAAGCTGGAGGCAGAAATGGGGGCATTCTCCACTTCGCACAGCATGTGCTTCCAGTTAGAACGACATAGTATTTGCCAGTGGCCGTAAAGAGGGCAGGGGGCTGCCTTACATCTAAAAGCCAGACTTTCTCTAGCTTGTAGTAGAAACTGAAATTCTCTTTATAGGAAAAAATGTTGTTGCTGAAACTGAAGCTGGGAGCATATGAAATATGCCATATGTTCTGCTTTAGAATATGATTTATGTGAGAATTGGTCCAGTGGATACTTCCGAAAGTTGATGTCCCTGTAGCCTGAATGAAACTTGTTTTTCTCTAGTGCGTTGAATGTATTTTGAGTTATTCCAAAAAATTATCCTAATCCCTCTGAAAAGATAAATACCTGAATTACACATGTTGTACAATGCTAATAACTAATGTACAATTTTTAAATCAAGCCTAAATTTAAGAAAAAAAAAGAAGCTTAAATTACCAGTGGTCTGTTAATTTATGCAAAAGATGCTCATGTGCGTACGACCTGTGCCTGTGCCCTGTAGCTGTCGGCCTGATTGCTTCCGGCCAGTGTGACGTGGTCGTGGCAGGTGGTGTAGAGTTAATGTCTGACGTCCCTATTCGCCACTCAAGGAAAATGAGGAAAATGATGCTGGATCTCAATAAGGCCAAGACTCTGGCTCAGCGACTCTCTGTAATTTCTAAATTCAGATTGAATTTCCTATCTCCAGAGGTAAGACTCGTGAATGCGAACATAAAGACGTGTGTTGCCAAAGCATCCCACTGCAGAGATTTAGTGTTAGATAAGATGGCATGGGTTCAGTTACATTCTAATAGCTGCAGATTCTGTTAGTTACAAGGAAAGGTTAATTATTAGGTCAAGATGAAGAAAAAAATAGCAGAAGATTTGAATTTGTAAACCCTTTTTAGAGATGCCTTGCTTACGAAGAACTTCCCCTTGTCCCAATCTTGATTGATCGTAGACTTTAACTTTCCCAGATAACCCTAGTGTGATATAGCACCTGTTCACAGTGTACCTGGTCCTGAATATCTCCTTTCCCAGCTTCCTGCAGTGAGTGAGTTCTCCACCAGTGAGACTATGGGCCACTCTGCAGACCGACTGGCTGCTGCCTTTGCTATTTCTCGGGAGGAGCAGGATGAATACGCACTGCGCTCTCACAGCCTGGCCAAAAGGGCACAGGATGAAGGACTTCTTTCCGATATTGTGCCCTTCAAAGTACCAGGTAAAACAGTTTGCTCAGCTTTGTAAAGGGGAATGCTTCTTGATATTGTTAGGGAGTTCTGAATTTCTTCTACAACTCCAAAATCCCTAAGTGACTTTCCAATCAATATTTCCAAAATACTCAGCTTTTATTCTTAAACATTGACTCAGGTTTCAATTTTTGTTGTAACATATGTAAGCATTTTAAAGAGATGTTCTATAAGTCTCCTTTAGGTCTGGCAGATATATTTTAGTTCTTATGTGCATGCCTGTTTTTAAAGATCTGTATTTATAAGTCTTCTGTAAAGAAGAGCCAAATGTAAATGAATATCTTAAGAAAATAAGATATCCTTTTTAATGTTAAATCATTTAGATTATTTCCCAAATGCCTTAAGAGTTTGCTTTCATATTTGGTAATGTCTTGATAACTATAAAGAGCTTTCTTTTTAGTGAATAGTTATGGTTTACATTTTATTTGTTCTTGTAATTTTAAAGCATATTTCTCTGGAGAAGATATATAATGCTTCCTGAGCTTAGAGTTAAAAACTTCATATTTTTATAGGAAGAGATACAGTTACACAAGATAACGGCATTCGTCCTTCCTCTCTGGATCAGATGGCCAAACTAAAACCCGCATTCATCAAGCCCTATGGCACAGTGACAGCTGCAAATTCTTCTTTCCTGGTAACTATGTGTGCTATATGTGTTTACTAGTGATCTTTTGTATTTGTGTATTCTGAAAAAGAAAGCCTAAAATAGATGTACTTGTGTGTACATCTATTTAAGTCTCTATAGAGACTTAAAAACCTGCTTACTCAGATTTCCCTGGTGGTGATGTGGGTAAGAATCCACCTGCCAATGCAGGGGACACAGGTTCAACCCGTGGTCTGGGAAGATTCCACAGGCTGCGGAGCAACTAAACCTGTGTACCACAACTGTCGAGCCAGAGCTCTAGAGCCCACCAGCCGCAGCTACAGAGCCCACCGGCCACAGCCCACACGCCTAGAGCCCGTGCTCCGCCGCAGAGAGAGCTGCCACAACGAGAAGCCTGCCCACCGCAACTAGGGAGTAGCCCCCACTTGCCACAACTAGAGAAAGCCCTCACGCAGCAACAGAGGCCCAACACAGCCAAAAATAAATAAAATATACGTACTTACTACAAAGACAATTAAAATAGAATCAGTTTTTAAAGGCGTAGAAGTCACCTGATCCGGTCACCATTCTAATACAAAAAAACCATTCTCAAAAAAAAAAAAGCTCTTCTCTTCAGTCACTTCAGCAGTCAAAAAATTTTGCCTGCCTGTGCTGGGCACTGGAGATAAAAAGTTAACTGTAGGGGCTTCCCTGCTGGCCCAGTGGTTAAGACTCTGAGCTCCCAATGCAGGGGGCCCAGGTTCGATCCCTGGTCAGGGAACTAGATCCCACATGATGCAACTAAGACCTGGTGCAGCCAAATAAATGAATAAATATTAAAAAAAAAAAGTTAACTGTAACGTAGTGAGAAAGTTCTGTGATGACTGCAAGCATTGGCTCTTGGAGAAGATACATAGTTGGGTAAGTCAGAGAGTCTTCTTAGAGGAGGTAATACTTGATCAGGTAATCTTGAAGGACGAGTACAGGCCAGTTCAAGAAGTGTATAAAAGGCCTTCTAGGCAAAGGGAATGGCAAATGCAACTTTGGGAATTAGGAGAGCAAAGAGCCTCTTTGGAGAAAAGCCTGGTTGGAACACAGGATATGAATTTCGGGAGTCATCTACGACTTGGAGGACAGGGAAACCTGGCGTGCTGCAGTCCATGGGATCACAAAGAGTCAGACACAACTTAGCACCTGAGCAACATAAGACTTCGAAAGTAGGCAGAGGGAATGACAAGATACTTTTTCTAGCTCTGATTGTTAGAAAATTATGTTTTATGCTGACCTCCAAGTTACTTTCCTATAAGCATCATGGAGTAAATCTACTCTCATTTTTGGTTGTTCTTTTACGTATATGCAGGTAGCTTATGTCCTTGCTTGGGTTTTTTTTCTTTCCTCCTCTATTAAATGTCCCTCTTGATTCTGCTTCTGCTTGTGAGATGTGATTTCCCTCCTCCTACTACCTTGGGTGCAGTCTTCAGGATATAGTTCATCTGGTCAGTGTTTCTTTTTACAGTATTATTCTCCTACCCAGACATAGTCTAGAAAGAAACATAGGCAAATGTTTGACATATTTGACCTTGATAAATGACAATTTAATGCCTGCTCTTGAGTTTAGGAAAGGATGCCTGAGGTAATTTTAGCAGGATGGTGTACCACCTGGTAAAGCCTGAGCAGTGAAGGACTGGTTAGGAGGTTATTTCTAAAACCAAATTGGATGATAGGTTCATATGGCATCAGTTATACTCTTGGCAGATCTGAACCCCCTTGAATACTTGTGAGGTGTGCAAAAGGTTCAGGTTTATTTATCAAAAATCAGAAACACAAGTCATTAGAGGTAATATATCACAGATACGTGGATTTTCAGAGATGCAGTAATGCACCATATTCATTGCAGTTTTTCACAATTGCACATTGAATATAGTAATGTGATGTTATTATGTATAGTCACCTGTGTTTCCAGACTTTCTGGCCACCTTATTGGTAGTGGCTGCATAGCCTCTTCAGAGTTACTGAGTTACAAAAATATGGTCTGAAATTACAGTAGAGATTGTTTTAATTTTGTCAATTCTAGAGAGTAGTTTCTTTTCCTTTGGAATTTTTGTGGTTTTTTTTTTTTTTTTTGAGCTTTTTCTTTTGAAATGGTAGTAAAGGGCTTTTGTGAGTAGTACTAATTTGTCCCCCGCTTCTCAGTTGTCAGTTGGAAAAAAGCATATGTGGTGTTTCCAGAGAGGGAAGACCGTGGTCCTTATATTCTCAGCTGTCTACCTATTTCTTCTTCTGCTTGGTTTGCTTGTTATAGAGCCTTTAAATTGAAGAAAATCATGTACAAGCCACAGGCAGGAAACAGCTGAGAAGCAGTCCAGACAATATAAAAATAAATCAGTAAAGAAGAGATTTTAGGGAGGATTAACTCACAAAATCCCTCATATTCTGTGCCAGACACAAAAATCTTCTAGTTTATTATGAATACATATTGAGTTACCAATTCTCATCATTCATTTTGATAATTATGATACTTTTTGAATAGACTTTTCTACCCTCATCTGCCAGAAATGGGTCAGTGTGTATGTGTCTAAACTGTGACTTAATGATGGATAAAATGAAAAGATTTTGTTACAGAGAGTCGCTCTGTAAGTGTGATGCATTGGTAAATTTAGAAACAGAGCATAGAAGATGGCTGAAGAAATAGCACCAGATAGGCTGCAGTTATTTAACATTTTTGTTCCAATTAACATTTCAGACCGATGGTGCGTCTGCAGTACTGATTATGGCAGAGGAAAAAGCTCTGGCCATGGGTTATAAGCCAAAGGCATATCTGAGGTAAAGTAAGTATTCAAGTAAGTTTCCTGTGGTTTCTTTACTTTAGTAGAGAGCTCACCCTTCTGTTTTTTACCTAGGGATTTCATGTACGTGTCCCAGGATCCAAAAGATCAGCTTTTACTTGGGTAAGTAGCATTGTATATTCTTGGATTAGTCTAGAAAATATTGGTTACCCATGTTTATTACATAGATTTTAAAAGTATATAAAGCACTGAGTTCATAATTTTTGAACTCATAGTTTTGTGGGTTGGGTTTTTAAAATAATCTTTATATTGTGTTATCATTTTATAGTTTTATCACTTTTCTACTTTTTCCTCTACTTTTCTACTACAGTTATCATATATATACAACTTTTTATTCTTTTTTACATTAAGATGTCAAGCATTTTTTTATACTGCTACTTTGCAACACAATCAGAATAGCTTTTTATAAAAGCCTCCTAATGTTTAGATAGACTCCTCTCCCTTCCTCACAAGGCTGTACCGTCACTAACCTCCATCATGTCATTTAACTAGCCATGCCCCTTATGCTCTGCTGTTTGAGCTCTGTGTTTTTCTGGCTCTTCTCTTTTATTGTCTACTTGCTTGCTCTCTCTTTCTCTGAGTCTAGAATATCAACTGCAGAGGGCAGAGGCCATGTCTGTTCAGTTTACTGTTGTATCACCAACAGTTTGTTTGTACAGTAGAATCAGTGAATGAGTAGAGGACCTTCTAATAACTATGTAAAATTCAGTTTGGGGAATATGAAAGAGTTCTTTAGTTAAAAATGAAAGTTTTAATATCGTATCACTGATTTTTTTTTTTTTCAGACCAACATATGCTACTCCAAAAGTTCTGGAAAAGGCAGGATTAACAATGAATGATATTGATGCTTTTGAATTTCATGAAGCTTTCTCAGTAAGTCATTTTAAAGACACATATCAAAGGACTATAATTGTTTAATATGCGTGAAACAAGTAGACCTTTATGTTTGAAGTACTGACTTAACACTACTGGGAGGAAATCCAGGGCTACACCCACAGTGTTGAAAAACATATCTTTTGAATTGAGTCCCTTCAGAAGTATCAGGTTGTTTCTTTAGAAAATATTCACTGAAAACTGATTTAAAGATTTGCTTAGCTCTAAAGTTAGACAAACTCATGCGAAAAGGAAAGCCTTGAGGGATTTTACTACAAGAGGGTCCTTATTGAGTTATTTTCCTTTCTAGGGTCAGATTTTGGCTAATTTGAAGGCCATGGATTCTGATTGGTTTGCACAAAACTACATGGGTAGAAAAGCCAAGGTAAGTTTCTGGTTAAAAATATGCTTGAGGAAAAAAAAGATACGCTTGAGGGATTTTCCTGGCAGTCCAGTGGTGGCAGTGCTTCCACTGCATGGGGTGTGGGTTCTATTGCTGGTGAGGGAATTAAGATCCTGCATGCCACACAGTGTAGCCCCCCCCCCAAAAAAAACCTTTGAATTTCCAAAGCACTATAATATTTGGCACTTTAATACCTGCTAATAAAAATATGAAGAGGAAGGCTGCTGCTTCTTAGGAAAATTTTTGTGTGTTATTTCATATATTTATTTCTTAGTTGAAAAATAGCTCCTGGAAATTCTTTGGAAAAAATAAAAGCAAAAATTCAAATTGTCTTTTATTCATCCACTCTGATGTCAGATGAAAAAATAAACAGGGCCCTTGACTTTCAGAATTGATTTGGAATTTCTTTCATAGTAAAATAGCATATGGTGGGTCTTTAAGAAAGTTATTTCCCTCAATACTTCCTGTTACTCAGAGCCTGGCCTGATTTTTAAGTAAACTCACCTTTTTATTTGTGTTTATTTTTGTGGGAGCCAGGTTGGATCGCCTCCTTTGGAGAAGTTTAACAACTGGGGTGGATCACTGTCCCTGGGGCACCCGTTTGGAGCCACTGGCTGTCGGCTGGTCATGGCAGCTGCCAACAGGTTACGGAAGGAAGGAGGCCAATATGGTCTGGTTGCCGCCTGTGCAGCTGGAGGGCAGGTAGGTCACAGAAGCTTAATAGGAGCTTCCAGAAAGTTATTTTCTTAGAAACAAACTCATCCAAGAATGTTTGATTTAGCTTAATTCGAAACAGTCTTAGAGTGATTTTTCTGATGACACACAACTGGAAAAAAAGCCCATTTTTGCAGGCCGGGGAGTACAACTTCAATCCTAAGAGTTCTTGGAATGAAAGAAGCTATTTAAATCCAAACTTTTTTTTCCCCCTAAAATAATGTTTACAGGTTTTATTTGTAAAAGTTACATGTGCTCATTTATGGAAATTATGGAAAATACAAAAAGTATGTAGAAAATAAGACTAGAATCACTTATAATCCCCTCATCAGACACTATCATTATTCATACTTTGATATATTTTCTTCTTTAATAATAAAATTTTATTCATTTATTTAGTCACCTTGAGACCTTATCTATAAAATCTCTCCAAGAGGAAAATTGTCTTTCATGAGAACTGGACTATGCAATGGAGAATTAATTTACCTCTGGATAATTTGTTGCTATTTAGCTGGGGAAAATTATGTTTTCTACAGATTTTTTATCTCTTTTACTTGTGCTACTGATAAAACTTCCTACCTGTAGCGTTTCACTGTGGGACTACAATCCAAAGGAAGGCTGGCTGTACTCTTTTTTTTTTTTTAACCCTGCTGGAAACAGATTTGATTTTTCACCAGATAACAGAATCTCTCTGTTGCTGACCAAGATGAATAAGATATGTAAAAGTATAAACATCTTGCATTTTAAAGCCTTTATTTATGGCTTTTCCTCAGAGACTTTGAAAAAGCAAGGGGTCAGTTATTTTTAGGTTAGAATATTTTAGACTTCATGATCGGAAGTATTTTCTAATCTGGCTAACTTTGTTTATGGAAAACCATGGTTGGTCAGGACTGGAACCCTCCTTATCTTTCTATGCCAAGATTCATTGGGGGAGATAACTGGTGCACAACGTTGTACATAGTGCATAGTCCACACTGGTCAGTGTCCTTTGGTTTTGAGTGTTCCCTAATTTTTTAATCTAGCACATAAAGAATTAGTAACCTAATACTAGATGCTTTTGTAAATGAACAAAGAATAGTATCCAGTGTTATTACTTTCCTCTAGAAGTTTAAGGGTAGTGAGGAAGGCGATGAGCATTCTAGACACTAGATTCAACTCGGCATTGTTTCATCAAGAGCCAAGTGAGTGCTGTATAGACATGATTAGATCAGAGGAGGAATCCATCACTGGGTCTAGAGCAGGAGTTCTCAGCTTTGGCACTAGTAACACTTTGGGCTAGGTAATTCTTTGTTTGGCTGGCAGGATTATGCCGTGTGTTGTAGGGTGTTTAGCATGGTTTCTGTCCACTAGATAACAGTAGTAAACAACCCTCCTTATTACCCGCTCTCCCTGTCTCACCATATACACACAGTTGGGACAACCAAAAATATCTCCAGACATTACTAAATGTCCTCTGGGGTGGGTGGGGAGCAAAATCACTGCAGTTGGGAATCACTGATGTAGAATAGTATAAAAGATTTGGAACATGAAAATAACACAGCTTAAATAAAATAGGAGAACGACTATTCTAACTTATTATGTATCCTTCTAGGACAACTCCAAGTCGGTCAGACCTTCCCACCTCTGTTCTTTCGTTTGCTTGTGCTTGTATCAAGGATATTTAACAGTTTGTTTTGAACTACAGTGTATACTAGATTGAGGATAGAGACCATGTAGCAAAACCTTGTACCCACACAGTGTTTAGCTAGGTGCCTTATACATAATAGTTGCTTAATAAATATTGTGGGGATTGAGTTGAATCTAGCAGTAGGGAGATTAGTTAAACTATTAACTGGATTGATAACAGTCCAGAAGAAAGAATGATTATGATTATCAGATAGGATTTAGACACGTGACATCATACATTTCTATACTAGGTTTAAACTAGGGAGGTAACTGTACTGTGCCTAGTGCTTGGGAAGGGGTTTTCTACCTTTGACTTTTGTGGGGCTGCAGCTCATCGTCTCCACATGCATAGAGTAGTAAAGAAGAGACCAGGCTTTGGAATCATCTGGTTTCAAGTCCTGACCCTGTTATGATAGCTTTCTGGATTTGAGTAAATAATGTAACCTTTTTTACATTTTTACATAAAAAGCCCCTATTTTTCTCATCTTTCTCACAAGAAAGAAAACTGTTGTCAAATTCACTGTATCATGATTATTTTTATACAGCTAAAAAAAGCCACTGTGGCTTATTTTAATAGCAACCACTTATGGAGCATCTACTAGAAATCAAATTCTACTAGGCAGACTTTGATACACATGTGTATGCATGTATGTGTGTGTGTGGTATATGTACACACACACATTGTATGCTATTGCTTAATTTAATGCTCACAAAAATACTTTGATGTGGGCACCATGAGCCCCATTTTATAGAGGAAGTTGAGGTTCAGAGTGGCTAATAACTTTCCCAAGATCTCACAGTGTTTGAATGGCAGAGTCAGGATTGAGTTCCAAAACCTGTACTTTTCTCATGGTTCTCTGCTGCCTCCATACTGGCTGCATTCATTGCCTTTCATTGCTCTAATTGGACTTCTTTTTTCTTTTACAGGGCCATGCTATGATAGTGGAAGCTTATCCAAAATAATAGATCCAGAAGAGGTGACCTGGAGTTTCTGTGCAGCACTCGGCCTAGGCAATGCCATTTCAATGCACTATTCAATGACATCTCTAGTTCTCAGCTCCTCTTAGGAAAGCAAAATTTGTGGCCTTTTGTTCAATACTTTGCAATTAAGCCTTTCCAGTGTTCTGAGCTTTCCAAGAATCACAGCTTACTACTCTTTCAGGGATCCCTTAGTTACCAGAATCTCTCACAGTGGTAAGTCAAGCAATTGTGTTTGGTCTCTATTTTTATTAAGGACTGAATGAGTGGCTGCAGTTTTGGAAAGAGACTAGGTGAGATTTGGGATCACCTTTGTAACATTTGCAAATTATAACTCATTCGTATTTGTGACCTAACGATAAACGTTTTCTATAAAATACAAAACCAGTGTGCCTAAATTAGCTTAATTATGGGAAAATAGTTCAGAATCTAAGCATCACTGAAAATTTACTGAAATCTAAGCATCACTGAAAAATCTAAATGTTTAGATGTACAAATACCTTGTTAAAAGTGTTAGTTGCTCAGTCGTGTCCAATTCTGTGACCCCATGGACTGTAGCCTGCCAGGCTCGTCTATCCATGGAATTCTCCAGGCAAGAATACTTGAGTGGGTTGCCATTCCCTTCTCCAGAGGATCTTCCTGATGCAGGGATCTAACCCGCATCTCCTACATGGCATGCAGATTTTTTACCATCCGAGCCAACAGGGAAGCCCATATTGGATAACCTTAATAAAGTAGAAAAGTTTGAGAACCATTTGCCTTGTTTTATTAGAGGTAAGAGGTGGTTCTCTTGTTTTAGGGACAGATTTTGCCTTGGACTGCTCATTTGTAACTTCTAACCATTTTGGTCTAACATGAGGCCGCTAGGAACATAAAGTCCTGCCTTAGAATAACATCATTTTTCCCCCATTGCCCAACTGAAGTCAATTTATTTTATTACTGTTTGGAGATGTTTCTGTTTGCCAGGTGTAAAGAAATTTTAAAAATTTGGTCCACATACTAAAAATCCTCTCAGTTTTTTGACAACCAAACTGCATTGAATAACATGTGCTCATGCTTTGAAGAAGCAGTCTCAGCTGCAACCATTTATGTGAATGATGTTTAGATATATGAAAGTTACTAGCAATCATAATCATTCTCTAGTTCAGGAAGTTTGGGCAAGGGAGCAAGTGCTAACCTTTTAAAAGGTTATTTGAGGATCCCAGCATCATTTCCCCATGATTTCATTAGTAAATTCTATATAACGTGAATTTTTAATGCTGTAAACCAGTGTATTTACAAATCACAAGTATTAACTCTAGAAGTTAAATATAAAAGATAAAAAACTCTTTGCAATTTAGGCAAAAATACCGCTTTTACTCTTAGGTTGGGATGGGTACTTTTTTTTAAACCACACAGTAAAAGTGTTATCATAAAAGAGAGATGTAGAAGTTGGCTTAAGTTGAAATAAGAACGTTTGTTCTTTATATGATAGAGTAGGAAGACAAGCCACAAATGTGGTGAAGATACAGATATAACTTAACAAAGAATGTGCGTATATATATATGTATCTTACAAAGGTATATCATATATACATGTGATAGAGATATCTCTCTTAGATCTTTGTCATATTTATAGGATAGATATCTTACAAAATATGTATGATATAGATATATTTTACAAAGGATCTGGGATGTATACAGAATTCCTGTAAATTAGTAAGAGGAGAGATAGCATAGTAAAAACTGGCAAAAGATATTAACAGGTATTTTTTAAGAAAATAATACACAAATGGAGAATAAACATAAAAAGATGCTCATTAGTCATCAAGAAAAACCAAACGAAGATCATGATAAGGTATTACTTTATGCCTACCAGACTGGCAAAAATGAACAGGACTTGAGAACACTAAGCGTTAGTGAGAATGTGGACAATAGGGACTTTTTATACCTGCTGATAAGAATGCAAACTGATACCACCATTGTGGAAAACAGTCTGGCATTATCTTGTACATTTGAATATGACACATGGCTTATAATTCAGCATGTCCGCTCTTAGGTATATTTCCTGAAGAAACTTGCACACGAGTTATCAGGAGACATGTACAACAGTGATGATAGCAGCATTGCTCTTTAATAGCAAAATATTATAAATAACAAATGTTCATCGACAGCAAAATTTCAAAAACAAGCAAAACTAAGTATACTCCTAGGCTGCCTACATAGGAGATGAAAATATTTTTCAAAACAATTAAGAAAAAAAGAGAAGTCTTATTGAAGAATTCCAAATAATATGTGTAGACCCCACACTCCAGGAGGTGGAGCATGCCCTTCCCCAGGTAAGTGTGGGCTAGACTTAGTGACTCAACTCCAAAGAATAAAGTATGAAGATGGAGAACCAGGCAACCTTACAGTGGAGAAACCTGGCAGACACTAGCTTAACTAAGAGCCCAGGGTTATCATCATAGTGCTGGCATGTGGATATCACAGACCTGATGGTACGATGTAATCAAAAGGGCCCTTCTCCTTAGTGGTATTCTTTCCGAGTACCCATAACCTAGTTGAATCTTGAGACAACATCAGACTAAACTAAATCAAACTAAAGTAAACAAAATTCTTGTCAATACTCATAACTATCAAGGTCATGAAAAACTGTCACAGACCAGAGGAGGCTAAGGAGATCTGACAACTAAAGGTAATGTAGTATCCTGGGTTGGATTCTGAAACAGAAAAAGGACACTAATAAACTGATGAAATTTGAATGAAATCTGGAGTTAATAGTTTAAAAAGGAGCCCAGATAAAGGAGCACATATATGGTGAAATTATTTTTGAGAAGAGTGCCAAGACTATTTAGTGGGGTAAGGACAGTATTTTCAACAAATGGTATTGGGAAAATTGTATATACACATGCAAAATAATGAAGTTGGACCCCTGCCTTACGCTGTACAAAATGAACTCAAAACAGATCAAAGACACAAACAGAAGAGCTAAAATGATAAAACTCTTAGAAAGAAACACGGGGAAAGCTACATGATACTGGGTCTGGCAGTGATTCTTGGATATGACACCAAAAGCACAGGAGAGAAAAAAAAATTGGAGTTCATAAAAAAATGTTGGTACATCAGAGGACATGTTGAAAACACAACCTGTGAAATGGGGGAAAATATAAATCATATCTGATAAGGGTTATTCAGAGTATATAAAGAACTACAACTCAACAGCTAGAAAAACAGTTTAAAAATTGTCAAATGATTTGAATAGACATTTCTCTAGAGAAGATATACAATGAACAATGAGTGCATGAAAAGATACTTTACATCACAAATCACTGGAGAAATGCAAATCAAACTGTGACTTCACAGCCAATAGAATGGCTACTTAAAAAAAAAAAAAACCCTGAAAATAACAAGTGTTGATGAGGATATGGAGAAATTGAAACCTTTGTGTACTATTGATGGGAATTTAAAATTGTGCAGATGGAATGGAAAATAGTATAGCAGTTCCTCAAAAAGTTAAAGGTAGAATTACCAAATGACCTAGCAGTTTCAGGTCTAGTATATATCCAAAAGAATTGAAAGTAGGGTCTCAGAAATATTTATACACCTATGTTCATAACAGCATTATGCACAATTACTAAAACTTGGAAACAACTCGTGTTCATTGATGGACCAATGGATGAATAAAAGGAAGGCAATCCTGTCACATGTGTCACATGTTACAACATGGATAAACCTTGAGGATATGCTAAGTGAAACAAGCCAGTTACAAAAGACAAATACTGTATGATTCCACTTGTATCAGGTATTTAAATATTCAAAACAAATTCTTAAGCACAGTAGAATGGTGGTTGCCAGGGCATGGAGGGGTGATGAGTTGTTTAGTGGGTACAGAGTTTCTGTTTTGAAAAAATGAATTCTGAAGGTTGGTCGCACAGCAATGTGAATGTACTTAATATTACTGAAATGTATATTTTAAAATGGTTAAAGTGATAAATTTTACGTGTATTTTATCATAGTTAAAAAAATTTTTTTTTAAGGTAAGAGAAAACATTCAGAACAGAGGTTACCTCTAGGTGGGGGGCAGTGGCACTGGACTGGAGAGGAGCACATAGGTTAAAGTTACGTACCGTTTCAAAACATTTTATACACCCGCGTTATTTTCATTTGCATGACTGCTACAAAAGCCCATCCTTGGCTGTGGTGATTACAGTTGTCTCCTTGATGTTCTTAAATAGCTGAAACTGGTTATATTCTTCGTAAAGATCCCACCTTAAAGTGTCTTTTCATGTAAAACTTTAATTACACTCTCTGTTCCACCTGATAACCAACTGCAGGTGGAGCCTTTATTTGCCCTTATTTTCTTTCAGATTTTGGAAGTTTGGCTCTCCCCTGCCCTCAGCTATTTGCTTCCAGCAGTCTCTGCTTCCATCTTTCCTGAGAGAAGAATTCTAATTCTCTGCCTGGCTCCTCCCCGTGTCCTTTCTCAGTTTTGTATATTTCTTCAGGCCTCTCAAGATTTGATCTCTCTTGAGTAGTAAAAGGTGGTATCAGGGTCTTCTGGGCTTTCTCAGATTTTTAATGGGTGACTCAGATGCTCTCTGCCTGTATCACAGTGGTTTTCTGGGGACTCTGAACCGGTATATTGTGCTGCTTCAAAGAAGAGCGGTCCTTGATTGAGAGGAAATGGGAGAATGTGGGGACTGGAGGACAAAAATAGTAGACGGTACTATTCTGAAAATAGATTATTGTGAAAGACAAGAAACATTCAGACATGTTGGCAGTGTTTGTACTCAATGTCATACTCAACTCGAAGCCCTTTTCCCTTTCACACTTAAAGGAATGTCAGTGACGAACTGATTCCCAAAGCAGAATTCCAGATAGAAAGTTCAGAGCTTTCCCAGGAACACCTAATGTAGTCTATCCTTCTGTACTAACTTAAATTCCAGGATATGATTTTTTGTGTTTCCTTGCTTGTCAAGATTCTATTTTTAAATATGTAAAATGGTCAGGAAAACTGTTTGAAAATCATTTTTTTCTAATATAAAAATACATGCTCATTATAAAAAAAAATTCAAACAATACAGAGTAGAAGAAGAAAATGAAGAATCAAGTGGAGATACCCACCCTTTATACTTTGGTATCTCTCCTTTTTAATGCATACATATTTATATGGACATATGGAATGTAATTGCCTAGTATAGTATTCTGGAACCCTTTTATATTACTTAGATGTGTAGCCTAAATATTGTTTCATTTTGGTAGGTGTAGCTGTGGTTCATCATTTTTAGTGACCACATAGCATTCCTTGGGATGGACATATCCTAATTGGTTTCACCACGTGCCTCTTTTTTAAGGGTGTAAACATAGAGTACTCATCCTTTGCACATTTATCTGTCCACTTGTTTACTTATTTCTTTAAGCCTTCTTATTAGAAATACAATTGCTGCTAAATCTCGCCTTCTTGGATTTACCTCCTGAGCATTCTTTTTATTCCTCTTTTTTTTAAAATGATGAGAGCCAAGTGAACAAAGGCTTAATGTCATTTCATTTATCCATTCTAAAGTGTGCTGTTAGAAGCAGAGTGTGCCTTGAGTATGTGTAATCATTTGAGAAGGAAGACGAGAACATGTGTATCTTCAGAAGCATGCTCAGAAAAGGAACCTGCTGCTTCTATTCTATATTACTTGAATTTTAAAAAATTATAATTAAGAAATTAAAAAAAAAATTAAGACTGTAAATGTTAATAATGTAAAAGTGGAATTGAGACATGATTCTGTTGTCAGGGAAACCAGCAAGGCAAAGCCCCCACTGATTGATTCCAGGACTGCTGCCTCCTGTGGAGCAAGGCACAGAAATATTGCAGTTGTCCTGGTGAGTTGGTATCTTCTATTTAAAAGAATGATTGAATCCATTTAGAGAAGTATTTGGGCTGATTTATAAGCAGTTAAACTTTGCACACAAATCATTAAGTGGAAGTACAGTGTATGTAAGAAAATATTTTCAATGGCATATGGCTAGCATATCACTTTTTATTTCTAAAGAAAACATCTTCATTTCACTTTATAAAAATATTCATGAGTGAGTTCCATGGAGGTCCAGTGTTCAGGACTCTACACTTTTACTGCCAAGGGTGCAGGTTCAATCCCTGATTAGGGTACTAAGATCCAGTAAGCTGCATAGTGCAACCAAAAAAGAAAAAGAAAATCCATGAATTTTTAAATTAACAAACATTTATCAGATTTTTTTCATTTATTTGGTTTAAAAAATTTTCAGAGTCCTGCCATCATCCTCTTGAGGATTCCATAAATTAACTCAGCTAGATGTCTTGGTGTCCTCTAAAGGCTTTTCTTAGATATTTCTTCTCTATATCTAGTGTTAGCTTGATCCTGTCATTTTTAAAATGTCAGTGTTTGTCATCTTTTCTCCTTAATTCTTGGCAGTCTGTGTTACCTTTCTCTCTACTTTTAAATTTTATACCTCCTGCTTATGAATGTGCTTCTATAAATGACTTTTTATATACATACATATGTCTATGAAACTTACATATTATACTAATGTGTTTTATAAAGCTTAAAGAGAGACCTATTAACTTCCCTTTTTCCTATATTTTGAAAAGAAACAAACCAAATTCTGTCCTTTGCCTCCAATGTTTGGAAGAGCAGCATTCCTTTCAATTAAGCCATCCTTTCTTTGTAACTATAGGGAGGGAAATAATTAGACAAGAAATCACTGAATAGTTCAAATAAAACCATTTTTATCAAATATGTAACATAAACTGTTGATTACTTAAAAACCTGGTTGAGATAGTTTTGCTTGTAATTACTTTGAACTTTGGTGATCATTTTTACAGCAAAGGCAGGCTTATTCATTAGGTAGCTTCAGCTAGTTTTTCATGCTTTTCTTGCTGGGATAATTTAGGGGTGCGGACAGATGACTACAAGAGAAATGAGTGTGACTAATGGGAAACAGAGGACTACCTTTCCCACGGGCTAAGCTCTGGGAGGGGGAAAGGGTTCAGGTCGTTGGCCAAGACCCATCCCTGGATTCAAGGACACACCCTCGGCCTCCTTAAAGGAACACCATCTCTGCCTGTGGGTCACTCAGAGTTTCTGTCTTCCCCACCAAGGAGCGCTCCCTGAAGCCTCTGCAGGCCCCCCTCCCCTCTGCACTCCAGGCCCACCAACAGCAGTTCCTTCAAAACAATGGTTTTTCAGGATGATTAAAATTTTGATAGTGTGAAAAGGAATTTTCAGAGCGAACTTAGTCAAGGGTTGGTAGTGGTGACACCTCCTCCACGTTTCTGGGAAAGCAACAGGAAATGCTATCCACATCTGAGGCCTCTACCTTCTTCAGCCTATCTAGAAACATCCACTTGAAGAAGTCTGTTTTCCACCATTGGGTTGGGACATGTATATGAAGAGGAGTTTTCCTTTTAAAGCTTTCCTGGAAAGCCCTTTATGTGCTTAGCCTCACACAGCCTCACACTCAGCCTGCACGCTGCCTCTAAAAATGCTTCATTTTCACCTGGCATCTTTACTTCTTCCTTTGCTGTGTTCTGAGATGTAGGTTTCACTTGTGGCCTAGGAAGGGGTGAAGTGAAGTCAGTCATGTCCAACTCTTTGCAGCCCCATGGATGTAGCCTACCAGCCTCCTCTGTTCATGGGATTTTCCAGGCAAAGGTACTGGAATGGGTTGCCATTTCCTTCTCCAGGGGATCCTCCTAACCCAGGGATCAAACCCAGGTCTCCCACATTGCAGGCAAATGCTTTACCATCTGAGCCACCAGGGAAGTCTGAAGGGGTGGAAAGGCCCAACTGCAGAATGATTAGTATTATTGCCATCTCTCCTTTGATGGATTGTATCCATTTCTACATTTTCACTTGGCTTCCTCCCTGGGCAGCAGAAATCCTAGGAACTTTGCTCCCAGCTGCAGTGACTCCCATGTGTACCTATCTTACTTTTCAAATGCCAACTGGAGGCAGACTTTCAGAGGGGAACAAGGGACAATCAGAGTTACCAGGAGTCCAGGATACAATCAGGAGCCTGGGAACCTGAATCTGTCCTCTGCCTGGGCTGCTTTCTCTGCTGTTGGAGAGCTGGCCCTAAATCCCCAGTTTTCTCTTGGATTCTAGCTGTGCCTGTCTCCTCCAAAGGCTGTGGAACATCTACTTTTGACCTGCTCTCAGGGGTCAAAGTGAAACTTGAAGCCAGCAACTCACCAAGGAGTTGGTGGATCTGGGGGGTTGGCTGCCGCAGAAGCGTTTGCGTAAAGCCTCTTGGACCTGCAGGAGAGGTGAATGCTGTTATGCATGGCCTTCCAGTGCAAGTCAGGCATGGGGAGACAAGTAGACTCACCTTCTTGTCCATGAGGCAACCAAACAGTAAGATGAAGACACCCTGAAAAGAGGGATATGGGGATCCGTTAGTCAAGGAGAAAGGAATCAACTGAAATCAACTCATTGCCTTTCAACCTCTGTCCTTTTGCCTAATTCCCATCCTGAGGCTTCCCATCTCAAGTTCTGAGCATTAACATCACTTGATGCATAGGATCCATTTCAGATGCTTTTCTTACTGTTATGAGGAAGATGAATATCAAAAGATAGGGTACTGGCAGTTCCATGACTTCAATAGCAATTCCAGATGTTTTACAGATAAGAGAACCAAAGCTCAAAGAAGTCTGTCTAAAGTTACCTAGCAGTCCGTGGAGGAACTGGGATACAGACTTAAGCCTTTTAAAATTTCTGCGCCTGTGTTTTCCTGCTCCATCGTGATACCTCCTTGAGAAGGGACTGGCAGTGACCTAGGCTGTCTAACAGGGCAAAGAGCACGGCTGCCACCGTGTCACCCACCTGAGAGGCGTTGAGAACCGTGAAGAGGTAGTGAGGGACTAAGGAGACTTCCTGCAGCAGAGTGGCCAGCCCCAGCCCCCAGGTGAGGCTGAAGATAGGTGTAAGAACGAGCAGAGCTTTGATCACCCCCAGGAGGGCTTGGCGCTTCTCCACCTGGGGTCCCTCTGACAGCGAGGGTCTCAGCAGCTTCAGCACAGCCATGGTGAGTACCAGCCCATTCACTCCCACGATGGCCAGCACTGGACCCACGAAGGTGTAGAGTGCTCCTCCCTTCTTGTCCAGCCAGCATGCCCCCTCCCTCAGGTATTGCCCTCGGGGTAAGTAGAGGCCTAGGGTGATACCTGCTAAACCCATCGGGCACAGGTAGCCAAGGAGCACCATCAGGGAGAGTACTCGGAGCTTGGACAGCTGATGGAAGACAAAGAGAAGCTGGTGGGCCAACAACAGGGCCTGAGCCAACATCCAGAAGAAGGTGGCCAGGTAGAGAAAGTGACAGAGAAAGGCAGCAGCCAGGCAGAGCGGGCTGCGGGGCCCCGGAGGGAGGAGTGGAGCTCCTAGGAAGCAGGTGTTTGCGGCCAGCAGGCAGAGGACCATGTTGAGCAGGGCTGAGTGGCGTAAGTAGGCGACCTTGTTCTGCACCACAAACCTCCACACCAGCCTGTACACACCCAGGCACATGAGCAAGGCTAGAATGGAGGCTCCCAGCCCCACCTGACTCAGCAGCTCCAGGGTGGGGTGGTTTGGAACCGTGTGTCCCGACATGAGGATGGAGAAGGCAGTGAGGTGCCGGCAGATACACTGAGTGGTGGGGCTGGCACTGGCTGCCTGCACCTGGCACCCTGCATCAGACCAGCCTCCCTTGCCCTGGAAGAGATCATGGTCCCAGAAGACACAGTGGGGACTGCCATCTGTGTCCCCAAAGTCCATGGTGACCTCTACCTGCTTGAAGACCTGGCCACCTGCCATGATGTAGATGGCGAGGACCAGACCAGGAGTGGCATAGAGGGAGCCCCCCAGCCCTTGCCCGTAGTTTGAGGGCAGAAGGTGGTCCAGTTTCTGCAGCACCAGGCTAGTAATGCTGACGTTGGTTCCATTATAGCGCAGGGGTGCCAGTGAGTGCCTGGGAATCCATGCCCGCAGTGGGGGCTGAGTAGGGAAGGAGGCTCTGTAGTTAGCTGGAAACGTGGGCTCGAGGAGCTGGCTCTGCAGCTGCACGTTGGGCAAGACGAAGGAGAAGGGCTGGTCCTGTGGGCACAGGCTGCGTGCCAGGGTCTCCACCGCCAGCAGGAGACTGGAGCCCACTGAGGGCATCTGCCTCTGGGCTGGGGTCCACAGAGAGCTGGAGTTCATGCCAAGGACCTTGTCTGTGATTTTCAGGACAGCCTGCGGCACCCAATAAAGAGACGAGGCCTGGCTGCCAGAGCCCACAGCATTGAGCTGGGGCGCTGGGAACCACAGACCCCAAAGCTATCCTTCCAAGTCCAGCTCAAGATCCAAGGATGGGGAGAAAGAGGGAGAGGAAGATGGGCCTGTGAAGAGAGACTTTCTAAATGGGAAGGGTGGGAGGTTGTTCAGCCAGCTGCTGGGGTGCCTTCAATATGTGGCTCCCGAGGAACACCCCACCCCTCTGTATGACAACCCACCTCCCCCTTTCATCCGTTGGGGCCTCTAATGTCCTAAAGGATCCCCTCCAGGTCTGTAAAGCTAGGAATGGTGCCCAGTGGTAGAGGGAACACCCTCTGAAGTAGAGGACCACCTGCATGTCTGTAGCCACAAGTGATGCACATTCCACACATGAAAGGTGTGCAGGGTCATTGTCCCTGATTATTCCTTTGGCTGCAGCTTAGGGGTCACCACCTGGTGCCTATACTGAGAGCTGGTTTAGGTGGGTCCCACAAAGCCAAGTGCGTTTGAGTATCTTCATGCAGGTACCTTGTGTGTGGGCCTGGGGGGATTCAGATCAAGTCCACATGTCTGCACACACATGAACACCTCTGAACTCCTATCTCCACACTCCTTCCTGTTTTCCCCAGCCTCCCATGTGTTCCCAGCATCTTGCCTTCTCCACGCTCCATGGCCTTGGCGTATGCAGGAGGAGAAAGGGACCAGGAGAGCAGACACTTGGACTCTAGAAAGGTCTGCCATCTGACAGCCCATGGCAATGTCAGAGGGACAGAAATGCCTGGGGGAAGAGCCTCCTGCCCCTACTACCCAGCTGGCCCCTGCTGTGATTCAGAGATCTCACCTCAAGGGCGCTGCAGTTGAGTTGTGTTATGGTGTCTGCCACCACCTTGGCCAGGACTGTCATGGTGCCCACCAGGGCCAGTAAGTCGGAGGGGGAGGTCACTGCCACTACCTGCTCCTGCAGCTGAGCCAAGATCTGTGACACCTCTTCCTCAGGCCAGCCCTGGCCTGCCTGCAGCAGCTTGAGACAGATAAGACAGCAGGAGAGGGGTAGGTGAGCCCTCAAGAAGGAGGGGCCACTTCCTTCCTGGCCCAGCACCTCCTTTTTTTCTCCCTGCACCCCATCCCAGGGGAGCAGGAAGCAGAGAGGCGAATGTGGGAGGAATTCACACCGAGGTCTGTGGAGCAGATACCTGCGGGCATGGAGGTTTGGGACTACGCCAACACTGGGTAGTAGGGTCTCAACACCTGCTTCCTGGCTCTGCTAGAGCTCCAGTTCAGAGAAGCTGAATAACCTTACTGCTGGGCCTCGGGGGGAAAGGACTCTAAAGCTGGGTCCTGAGTGAGGAAGGGATTGATCATGGAGGATGGGGCATGTGGGCAGCAGGGTCAGAAGCTTTACCTGGGCTCTGAGGAGCAGAGCCAGGAGCCCCGAGTCTGTGCAGCTGCTGTGGATGGGTCCCCAGACCCCATCAGGCCCACAGGGCCTCTTCACCGTGCCCGTCCTGTTCCCGGGACACTGGGCCTGTACCACGTGGCCAGCCTTGGTGACATTCCAGGTGACAGTTGAAGAGTCCTCAGGGCAGGTGGTGTCTCCATCTGAAATGACATCAGGGAGGGCTTAGCAGCACATTCAAGCCCTAGCCTTTCCTTGAGCAGAAGCCCTGCAGGCTGTGGAGTCTGGTTGTGGTGCCCAGCTTGGGGAGACACCCAGGGGGAGCTCCCAGGGTGGGCAGTGAGAGGATGGCCGGCCAGAACCCAGGCCCCACGTACCCCGGATGATGGTGACAGAGACGGCGACCCTGAGGGGGCTCAGACCGGGGCTCTGCAGCTCACAAGCGTACGTGGTGTTGGCTGCAGGGCAGTGCTCAACAGCCAGCGTGAAGCACTGGGAGTCCAGCGCATTGAACACGGAGGCTGAAGGGGACACGAGAAGGGAATGGTCTCTGGGCCAGGGACACACCTAGACCCCTTGGGGTCTTTATAGCAATTTCAGGAGCAGACTAGTGGAGAAAAGCTGAGTGGTATGTGGGCAGCAGACTACTGCAGGCTGAGCTGATATTTGGGGCTGGGAGACCCTGGTGTGTGTGTCGGGGGTGTCTTACAAGCTCCAGGCCCTGAAGCCGCAGTGGACTCCTTTGTAAAATGGGACCATCATCAGAGGAAGCTTGCACAGTAGCATTGGGTGGGTTCCAGGAGATCGTGTGGATGAAAGCATGATGTGAAAGTTGTCTACACACAGATAGTTATTGTTGAATAGAACTGGGGTCAAAACAGTATTGGACTTGGACCCGGAACTTCCAAGTTGAACAGCAGCCTGTTTCCTGGGAGCTGGAGCCCCAGCTGCCTGGAGGTGACTAGCTTCCCCTTCTCCCTGGCCCCCCGAGACAGTTGGCCCCGTTCCATACCTTGGCTACCCTCTCTGGGGCTCCAGGAAGCCGTGTAGCCCAGATGTGCGCTGGGGATGCAGCAGCTCAGCTGGAAGCCGGGGGAGGTGTCACAGGAGACGGAGAGCTGGTCTGGGAGCCCAGTCACATCTGTTGCCTGCAGGGGCACCCTCACCACCTGGTGCAGCTCCCACCTGAATCCCTGGGCCTCGAAGTGGCATATGTACTCACCTGCAGACACACGCCTGCTGCACCTCTCAGCTGCTCAGCCCCCACCTGTACTGCACGGCCCCTCCTGCCTCCCCAGCCACACCCTAGGTCTGCCCTCTCCATCAAGCCTGAGCTAAACCCCAGTAGGAAAGATCCCTGTGCCCTCAAGGACAGCTAGGAGGAAGAGGAGATCCTGATGCTTTGTCATGAGCCTGTCACTGTGCATCCTAAGATGAACCTCCCTGTCTCCAGGAGATGCTCTTCCCGCACCACCCCCTGCCATCTCGGCATCATGAGGAAAAGCCCACATCTGTCCTCAGTTGAAATTGAGATCACACTTTCAGCATTTTCTCATCAAAATTCTTCACATCCATGGGCCTCTTAGCCTTTGTTTCACCAGAATGTATAAACGGAGAGAAGGAAAATGAAGAGGAGGAAAGACAAGAAGGAGGGAGGAGGAGGAGCTGGAGGGGAGGAGAGGAAGAGGAGAGAAGAAAGAAGGGGAGGAGCGAGAAGGCAGGCGAGGAGGAGGGAGCGACAGTCAGGCTACCTGCCCATCTATGGGAGATGTTGACGATGCTGAGGACAGTCCGGCCCCGGCTGGAGGTCAAGGACACACAGGTCCCTGCCCGCAGGAGGATGGGGCTGGGGCTTCCTGTGGGCCACAGGAACCAGTTCAGGTTGGTGGTCTCCTGGTTCGTGAGGAGGGTCAGGTTCAGGGTGTCGCCAGGCATCTGCAGCCAGGAGTCAAGGCTCAGGGTCGCGGGGACTGCAGGAGGCAGGAGACAGGACCCCCGGAGCAGGAACTTGTGGCCCTGGAGCCTCACCCTCCTCCCCCATCTTCCGAAGCCCATCTCTCCTCACTCCTTCCCCACCCGACACTAATTGTCCTGTTTTGTCCCTGGAGGAGTGTGGCTGCTGCAGTCCAGCCTGGGAGACCCTATCTGTCAGTAGGAACCACACAGGAAAGCTTTTTGACCCAGGACATCCCCCTCCACCAGAAAGGAAACTTTCCTTGTCCACCTGTCTTCAGAGCCCTGTTGTTGGTTAGTCTCACTATTCCTGTCCCAAGCGCGGGGCCTGTGATCTGCTGTGATACCTGGCATTTTCTCTCACCCAGAGGAGCCGCTGGGCTTGAACCAGCTGGCAGAGATTACAGCCGTCAGAGAGGAAGAAACAGAGAGGGTTTTGTTCACTCGAGGCTATTGGTTTCCAAGTTCCCAGCCTTCCTCACCAGGTGGCAACAGCTGGCAGTACCCGGCTTCAGTAGGGCTCAGAACAAGACAGCCACACGGCCGGTGCTTGATGGGGGCTGGTGATGGTTGCAGATGCTGGCGTTCCACTGGTACCCAGAGAGGCAAGCACAGTAGCTGCACCCATCATGGGTAACATTGCACTCTGAGACAGAAGGAAGGGAAATGAGAAGTGTCTGGGTGTCTGTGAAAGGGTGTCTAGGAAAGCCCAATGCCTGCTGTCTGCGAGGCCCTAGGGCTGGGTTTCTGGAACAATCCCAAAGTCACTGCCTTCCCAGCCAGGGTTCAAAGCAGCAGAGCGTCGGGAGGAGAGAAGCCCCGGCTCAGCATCATCTGCCCCTTGGGCCTCTGCCAAAGTTTAGAAGATGGGGACATGGAGCAGGAAGGGAAGGTCTGTCCGATGGGAGGTGGGGAAGAAGCTGGGCACGTAGACCCTCCAAGAAATAGGGAGGGGCTCCCCGCAGTATCTCAGACCAGGGCGCTGTGGGAGGGCTGGGCTCCTTGCACCCTGAGCTCCCCCTCCCACCTGAGCAGCTAAGAGCCATTGAAAGGCCGGGGGTCAGGAGAGGTTCTTCCCCACCTGTTGTGAGGTTGAGGCCAGCGAGAGTCACTGGGGCTGAGGAAACCGAGGCAGCGGGGACAGTCAGGGGCTGGGAGAGTGCAGCCGGCCAGGGCACATCAGGGAAGTCCAGCTGTACGTGGACGGAGATCAGGAGCAGTTCTGCCGGAGAGGGGAGAGCTGGAGGGAAAGGAGCGGCTGCGGAGGGCCCGACACTAGCTGTCCCCTCCAGGAACCCGAAGACGTCCCACCTTCCTCCTCCCATAGCCCGTGCAGACAGGACCCAGGAAGGTGGGCTCTGCTCACCCATCACCCATGCCGCTTCATGTGGCCCTCCCAACAACCCCCTTACACAGGTGAGACTCTCCAGGAGGAAGAAGGTTTTGTCAAGACCTCGCAGCTAGAGAGCTGCCTTTGCGCCTGTGACCAGTGCCGGACCTGGTCTCTCTCTGACCCGCACTGCCCTCCCCCTCGGCGGTGCCTCTCCCAGACCTTTCTGCCTCGTTCCCTGCTCCCCACCCTCCCATTCGTCCACTCACCACCTGCTCCACTTTCGGGGTCCAGCTGTGGCCCTGATCCCCCTCGAGCCTGACTCTGTCCCTGGAACAGAGCACAGAGAGACTCTGAGGAGAGCCGAACCCTGCCTTTCTCCGGGGACACCTTCTTCTCTAAGCTGCTGGGGGGTGGGGGCGGCAGCCTGGCTAATCTGCTGTGACCTGGTCTCTCGGAAGCGCCTCTTGTTGACTGGAATCAAGCGGGCAGAGCAGGAGGGGAAAGCCAGCTTCTGGTAGGAGGTGCCTGACTGCAGCCCCAGGGATCCCTCCCAGGCCGGCAAGGCCCACCTGAACCCAGGAACCTGGCGCACCCTGGAGCGTCAACAAGCTTTGCTTAATTCCTTCCTGAATGCACCCCTCCCTGGCTCTGTACTCACAGAGCGCCAAGCCCTTGTGTGTGTGCGCCAAGCCCCTCCACGACCCTTTGCGACCCCATGGACTGTAGCCCTCCAGGCTCCTCTGTCCATGGGGATTCTCCAGGCAAGAATACTGGAGTGGGTTGCTTTGCCCTCTTCCAGAAGACCTTCCCGACCCAGGGATCGAACCTATGTCTCTTATGTCTCCTGCTTTGGCAGGAGGGTTCTTTACCATTAGTGCCACCTGGGAAGCCCATCCCTGGGCCTCTAGGCTGATTGAAATGACTGGGTCTGGAGCTCCAGTGAGGTGGGTTGGGTAGAGCTGCCTGGAACCCAGAAAGAAAGTGAAAGTCGCTCAGTCCTGTCCGACTTTGCGGCCCCAAGGGCTAAACAGTCCACGGAATTCTTCAGGCCAGAATACTAGAGTGGGTAGCCTTTCCCTTCTCCGGGGGATCTTCCCAACCCAAGGATTGAACCCAGGTCTCCTGCATTGCAGGCGGATTCTTTATCAGCTGAGCCACGAGGGAAGCCCAAGAATACTGGAGTGGAGTGGGTAGCCTATTCCTTCTCCAGAGGATCTTCCGTACCCAGGAATGGAACCGGGGTCTCCTGCATTGCAGGCTGATGAGCTATCAGGGAAGCTTGGAGATTATTCCCTCCATAGCAATTGCCATGAGGGTGAGCAGAAGCAATACCTAGGTCTCTGGTGTGTGTACCTATTTCCTCACCCACATCTCCCTCTCTCAAAATTGCACGTGTGTGAGGAGGTCAGTCTAAAAACAGATATGCTCTAGATGAGTATGTGGCTAGAGATAGATAGATAGCCACCTGGGAGAACACACAACTCATAAAGTGCCAGACTAGATACTGTTAGCTTTCCTCAGATTCTCTCCTCCTCTATGCCAGAATTTGGCAAGTTTTTATTTTCATTTTTAAGTAGCAACTTGACTGGAAGAGCCTTTACCTAAAGTGCAGCAGGCATCACTGGTGTTCATAAGAATTCAAATAAAGAAACAAAAGTTATCCTCACACTCTGAAAAATCAGGCTGAACTCTCTCATAAAAACCATCCTCTTAAAAAAATATGTTACAGGGGCTTCCCTGGTGGTTCAGTAGTTAAGATTCTGTGCTCCCAGTTCTGGGAACCTGGGTTTGATCCCTGATCAGGGAACTTGATCCCACATGCCGCAACTAAGACCTGGCTCAGGCAAATAAATAAATATTAAAAAAAAAAAGCATGACTTCCTCTCCCTCCAGCACTCTCCCATCCACCCATCCATTCATCCTACACTGTGCTGCCTCTCACACCCAGAGGCCCCTACCATCATCTCTTCAGACTTTGTCATGGTCCTCACCCAGGCTTACTCACAGGCTGGGATGCTCGGGCAGCTGGTGGCTCCACCAGAGCGAGAGTCATGGCCAGGAGCAGCACAGGCGCAGCCGAGCAGACCATGGCTCAGTGAAGCCGTCCCCAAGAGCCCGCCTGCTGCCGCATGATGCAAATATCCTGAGAGGAGAGCTGGCAGGGCTGTGCACAGATGGAATGAGAGGGAAGAGAGGAAGGGAGCCAGGCTGAGTTTACAGAGGAAGTGTTACAGCCCATGCTACAGTCAAATGGGCAGCCAGGTCACTGTGGGGCCCCCTGGAGCTCACAGGCTCCAGTGAGAGTGGCCTGCTCAGGTTCCCTGCTGGAGTCTGGGCCCAGGACTCAGTGAGCAGGAGAGAAGGTGGGGGCTCTAGGTCACAACACCAGCCATGTGTCCATCAGCCAGGTTCCGTCACATCTCCAAGGGTCCGGGAAGTACGGATTTTTCTGCAGCTCCCAGGAAGCTGGGTCATTGATCAAAAAGGCAAGATTAGAAGAGACAAACATCAGAGCTGATGGCTATGCTGAAATAATTTCTAGAGACTGGGCTCTTAAATGTAACAAAGAATCTGGGAAAATACCCAGAGAAATTATCAAGGTGTTTCATAAAATAATTTCGTAGTGAGGAAGGCTTTTCTAAGTATGACATAAAATCCAGAAGCCAGAGAGGAAATAATAAATTAGAAAGTATACAAAGTTTTAAATTTGGAATGAAAAGACTGTTGGGATAAAAAGGCAAAAGACAACATATTTGTAAGACTATGATTGTAAGGCTAATCTTTTAAAAATGTTATCTATTTACTTATTTATTTTTGGCTGCACTAGGCATTCATTGTTGCAAGCAGGCTTTCTGGTAGTTGCAGCAAGTAGGGACTACTCTTCATTGTGGTGCACTGGCTTAGTTGCCCCCTCCCCCACAACATGTGGAATCTTTTCAGACCAGGGATCGAACCCATGACCCCTGTGTTGGCAGGAGGATTCTTAACCACTGGACCACTAGGGAAGATCAAGAGCTAATCTTAACATAAACATTTTTTATCTTACACATCAGTAAGTAAATGGGCAAAAAAATCAAAGAAATATCATAGTTTGATAAACATACAAAACACTCAACTTAAGATATAAGACATGCAAATTGAAATAGAAAGTTCTTTTTCTCCCACTAATTATCAAAAGGTGAGATATTGGTTATCTTAAGTGTAATAAAAGTGTACTTGTACAAAAACATGTGTATAAGGATGGAGATCAAACCAGTCAGTCCTAAAGGAAATCAATCCTGAATATTCACTGGAAGGATTGATGCTGAAGCTGAAGCTCCAATACTTTGGACACCTGATACAAAGAGCTGACTCATTAGAAAAGACCCTGATGCTGAGAAAGATTGAGGGCAGGAAGAAAAGGGGATGACAGAGGATGAGATGGTTAAATGGCATCATTGACTCAATGGACATGAGTTTGAGAAAACTCTAGGAGATGGTGAGGGACAGGGAGGTCTGGCGCACTGCAGTCCATGGGGTCGCAAAGAATTGGACATGACTTGGCAACTGAACAACAAGGAAGTTCAAGGTAGAGCTGTTTGTGATAGTAAATGAATTAAACAACCCAAATGCCCAAAAAGGATAGGTTAGATAAGTTTTGGCATTTCCAAATAGAACATTGTTATGGGGAAAAAGTAAAGTAGCTCTATTTGGAATGAACCATGATATAAATGGTGAAATTTAAACTGTATTTTATGCTCTCCTTCAGGTAAAAAAAGGAATCCATATTAGATACTTATGCATTTTATACTTGGAATATTTCTAGAAGAATACATTAGAAAGTTGGCAATAATTGTTGCCTCTTGAAAATGAGATTAGGAGTCTGAATTGTTCTCTGTGCTGTTTGATACACATATTTTCTAACTTTAGGCATGTCCTTTTTTAATTATAGAAAAAGAAAGAGCTGAGACTTCCCAGTGATTACGACTCTATGCTTCCAATGCTGGGGGTGCAGGTTTGATGCTTGGTTGGGGAATTAAGATCTCATATACTGTGCAGTGTGGCCAAAAAAGAAAAGAAAGAACTGATTTACACACACACACACACACACACACACACACACACACACAGCACCTAGGGTGGAAATCTAGCCTCAATACATTTCTACTTTCTCTAACACCCCATGTTAGAATCATTGCTGAAAAAACAGCAAACACATAGAGCAAAATACATTCATGGGAGCAAAGACTTCGTAAATAGCTGATTTCAGAAAACATGAAAATGAAGAAGAATCAGATCTGAGAACCAGAGAGACAAGACACAGGTACTTGGGGTGGGACACTGTTAACATGTTGGCAAGTGTCTCCTGCAGCTGCAGGTGGTCTCAGATGGACACCAACAGCATCTACTATTGTTACCAAAGGGGGTCAATCAGAGAACTGAGTGGGCCTGGCCAGCACTCACCAGGGGCTCTCAAGGACAGGGATGACAGAAGAGAGAGGTGGAATTGAGACGCGTGCAGGTGAGCTGCTTCCTTGCTGGGTGGACACTGAGCAGCGGACGTTTCCAGTTAGGAGAGGCAAGCACAGACCACTTGGAGAGATGTTCTATCTAGAAGCAGAAACACCAAAGGAACAAGTGACTCAGAGAACATTAGGAAGTCAATGGAGGGGACTTTCCTGGTGGTCTAGTGGCTAAGACTCCAGGCACCCAATGCAGGGGGCCCGGGTTCCATTGCTGGTTAGGGAATTATGATCCCACAAGCTACAACTAAGCCCAAGCCCTGTAACTAAAGAAGCCTGTGTGCCGCAAAAAGACCCAGCACTTGCCAAAATAAATGATAACAGTAATAATTTTTTTTTAAAAGAAAGTCAACAGAGGTGGAGCTGGAGAGACTCCTAAGGATTCAACCCCCAAAACAGAATTTTTCCTAATTGGTATTCAATTCATCTTAATCTCTTTGAGTTCAAATGAGAAGTGAGTATAACAAGGGGAATAACGTATTCCTGGGTCCATGAAAGTTGAAGTGTCGAAAGTGTATAAAACTACAAGTAGAACTAAGGAAGTGAGATTATTGCCATAATTATGGGTCTATGAATGTGTTCCGTACAAATGGTATAACTCCCATTTAATGAAACAAGCTATATTTTCCATGTCATAGGAGTACATAAAATTTAAAAGAATTCTGTTGTGAATTCATTTATTCATATATCCATTAAATGAAACTTATTAAGCACTGGTGTCCAATGCTATGCTAGGTCCTAGACATCCGGTGGTGTGGACTAAATGTGTCTTGGTGCACTTACCAAAATAAGGGCTGGGCACAAAGACTGTGACAATTATTATGGAATATAGTATTTTTTTTTTTGGTTGCTACCAAGGCTTGGCCAGTATCAGGGCATGTCAGAGGATGGTGTGCAGAGAGGAGGGGAAAATGCACAGCTGTTTACCCAGTTGGAAACCTTGATGCAGTACAGTTTCAGTAATAGCTAATTAGCTAATTCTTGACTAAGACAGAAAGGTCCAATACAGAAAAAAACATGTTTAAAATTGCTTGACACCATATATGATCTATGAAATATATGACAATAAAAAGTATTTTAACAAAAAGGTAGGTGCTGTATATGTCTTCAGAAAAACTAAGGATATTTCTGATCTCAAAAAAATTTAAGGGGTGTGTGTGTGTGTGAATAAACATACGGGGAGGACTAGGACATTGGAATGAAACAGAATTTTTTCTTTTAAAGGCAAAAAAATTTCAAATCCTCTAAGGTAGGAGCCTATGGATTTAAAAAATTATTTTACTTATTTATGTATTATTTTTGGCTTCTCTGGGTCTTTGCTGGGGTGCATGGGCTTTTGTCACTGCACATGGGCTTTCTCTAGTTGCAGTGAGCAGGCTTTTGAGGCTATTGAGGTGGCTTCTCTTGTTGCAGAGCACGGGCTCTATTTAGAGCATGTGGACTCAGTAGTTGTGGCTCACAGACTTAGTTGCTTGGCAACATGTGGGATCTTAGTTCCCAGACCAGGGGTCGAACCTGCCCCTGCATTGGCAGGCGGATTCTTAACCACTGGACCACCAGGGAAGTCCTGGAGCCTGTTGATTTTAATGTACAATTCAGGCTATCAAAATGTTAATAAGTTTAAGTATCTACTAAGCACACACCCTATCTATTTAGATTCATCTATGAAAATCATTTTATAACATGGAGATATAGATGACCTTCCTAAGCATGAAATGGAATCCTAAAGCCACATAGGACAGGATGACCAATTTGAATATGAAAAATATGAGATGATTTATACAAATCATAGAAGGCTACAAGATGGTAATATTACTCCATGAAAGAAGAACAATTTTCTCTGAGTGAACAACTACATGCTAAGGTTTGCAAAAAGGTAATGAATGGAAAAGCAGACATAGGAGTCAGATAGCTGGAGATCAAAATTAGCTTTATTACTGGAAAAGCTGAATGAGAGAGAGATGGTGATTTGGATATGAGCCAGAAGCACTTCCCAGACATCCTCCTCAAACTGAATCTACTTATTCAGTTGTTGGCATAGCCAGACATCTCCAGGTCTCCCTTGTGGAGATGGGGGAGCTGAGAGTGGGTCTGGAGGACTGGCCACTTCAGAAGAAGGAGGTCTCAGAGCTTATTCTCCACTTCTTACCCATCAGATAGGTCACTGTTCGCTTGGGGAAATGGGAGAGGAAAGAGAGACTATATCCTTAGGGGGAATGGAAGTTCCCTCCCTTCTGTGGAAATGTGAGAAGAAAGGAATAGCATTCTGCACCAATACCATGCAGTACTGATTATAACAAGACTGATTTCAATATTTTAGTCAGAGAAACTCAGGTCATTTAACTCTTGTCAAAATATACACATAAGAGGATTTTATACAGTCAACAAACCTAGAAAATATTTTTGAATACTTTTGTTAGAAGCCCTAGAGAAATGTGTGCCAAGAACAAAAATCAGCAGGTACTTTGAGCGAAAACCTATTGTTTCTGCTTTATGCTACGTATTTTCTGAACCAATTTGTAGAAAGTGTCCTCCACCATTATTCACAGGTTTGCTACAGAAGTGGTCATTTTATACAAGGTCACGC